ACTCCGTGCCAATCCAAAACAAAGAACACCCGACACTCAGGAACAAACGGCACGGCCGTGCTCCTTGGGCGCCGTGGCGTTGACGCCGCGCCGAACTGGAGAGGGAATGAGATGAGCCGGCTGCTCAGCCAGCGAGCGCAGTAAAGTATTGCAATCCTAGAGCCCTACGGCCCCCCCCACTTTTATCAGTGGACTCAGCAAACCTGCACACTTTTCACACGCACTTGAGCCAAACTGTTGTTTGGCAATGCCGATGATGCTAGTGATACCGTGACACATGCCATTGATGCATACGTCAAACGTAACAAGAACAAGAACAAGAACAAGAACAAGAAGAACAACGACAACGACAACGACAACGACAACCACAACGACAACCACAACCACAACCACAACCACAACCACAACAACAACAACAACAACAACAACAACAACAACATCAACATCAACATCAACATCAACATCAACAGTTCAACATCAACATCAACATCATCAACAACAACAACAACAACAGCAGCAGCAGCAGCAACAGCAACAACACCAGCACCAACACCAACACCAGCCACAACACCCACCCCACCCCACCACCCCACCAGCACCACCACCAACAACAACAACAACAACCACGACGACGACAACAACAGCAGCAGCAGCAACAACAACGACCACAACCACCACAACCACCACAACCACAACAACCACAACAACCACAATAACCACAACAACCACAACCACAAGCACAAGCACAACAACAACAAGCACAAGCACAACAACAACAACAACAAGCACAACAAGCACAACAACAACAACAACAACAACAACAACAACAACAACAACAACAACAACAACAACAACAACAACAACAACAACAACAACAACAACAACAACAACAACAACAACACAACACACAACAACAACAACAACAACAACAACAACAACAACAACAACACGACAACAACAACAACAACAACAACAACAACAACAACAACAAGAACCACAACCACAACCACAACCACAACAAGAACAAGAACAAGAACAAGAACAAGAACAAGAACAAGAACAAGAACAAGAACAAGAACAAGAACAAGAACAACAACAACAACAACAACAACAACAACAACAACAACAACAACAACAACAACAACAACAACAACAGCAACAACAACCACAACCACAACCACAACCACAACCACAACAACAACAACAACAACAACAACAACAACAACAACAGCAGCAGCAGCAGCAGCAACAACAGAAACAACAGCAACAACAGCAACAACAGCAGCAACAGCAACAACAACAACAACAACAACAACAACAACAAGAACAACAACAACAACAACAACAACAACAACAAAAACAAGAGCAACAACGAGACAAGAACAACAACCAACAAATAACAAGAACAACACCAACGACAACCACAACAACAACAATAACAATAACAAGAAGTCTACCAACCAACCAGCCAGCCAACCAACCAAGCATTCAACAGCCAAAAACTAGCAACCAACAAACAGCAAACAATCTTGGCAAGTCCCGCTTGCTGCGGCGCGGGCTCCTTTTTGCTAATGAAAACTCGAGGCTCGGCCGGCTACGATCCATGGGGCAATCGCACATGCAAACGAATGCCACTTTCACACTCCAAATTTTCTCTTTGGAGGCTGAGCCGGCAGGCAAAAGCTCAGCACACTCATGCAAAGGCGGCCGACCGCGTGGCCTGTCCGTGAGCTTCACATATGGCTGTTTCAGCCATGCGGCAAATTCCAGCAGAAGTGCCTTGCTGCACTTCGTCAAGCCATCTGCCCACATGAGCTCAGTCGGCGTCCAGCGAATGGACTTCTCATTCACGAACTCCTGAATGCTCCGCATGTCCACCATTGTGCGCTTCTCCAAGGTCCGTGGATTCTGGGCGCAAATTGCGTCATAGAGGGACTTGCAGTCCGTGACCTGAAGCTGCGGCAGACGGAAGGCTGTACGATGGGGCAGGCTCTGCCTTGAGGATCTCAGCCAAGGTGAGGTTGATGTAGTAGGCCCGGTCCACAGCGTCATCGCATGAGCATGCTTCTGCAGCAAGTGTGCTACGGCACACTCGGGCTGACCGGTGTGACCGCCAGTCGACCACGTTGCCAGCTGTGATGGTCTCTGTGCACTGAGGGGCTGTGATCATCACGATGCAGCCCTGCTGGGATGCGAACTTCTCGGCGTTCGCCCATGAGCTGTCGGCATAGATGATCACGACGGTGGCGTCGTTGATCGCAACGTTGCCGAAGGTCAGGGCCTGGTCCGGCGTGTCAAGCGCGTAGTTCAGGGCCTCGTAGAGTAGGGACAGCTCCTTGGTGGTGTTCTCGTTGCCACGATTGGCAAGGCTGACCCATGCGGCCAGCTCGGGGCGGCTCTGCGACGCGAGCCACTGCAAAGATCCAGTGACGCTCTCCTGTCCTGGGCGGTCAGTGGTTCTTCATGGCGGCCACAAAGGATCTTGGTGTCGGCGAGGGCGTGCTCTTGAGGAACTTGCTCTGGGTGACCTTCAAGACAAAGTCCTTGCCCTTCTTCTGCAGCGTGAACTCCTTGCCTTTGAAGTCCAGCGTTTCGGAAAGCAGAAGCTCTTTCTGGCTGCCCCGGTGAGCTCCGTCTTGTTGTAGTCCTGGGCGCAGGTGACGAGGAAGTCGTCCACGTACACTATCATCGTGCAGCAAAGTTACAGGCGACCATTGCGCTGCCGGTGTTTGTAGAACATCATCGGCCAAGCGCAGGCAGTCGGTGCCCGGCGGACAAGAGTCGCCGTGTCACTTCGCGGCTCCATGTGCGCGGGGCCGAAGCTAGCCCATACATGTTCCCCTTCACACGATAGAGGGGGCATTGGAAGGCGGCACACCTCATCCTGAAGTGGTCGCAGAAACAGATCGGCCGGGCGTTCACCAGGCTCTGGTTCTCACTGCAAGAACGCCGTGCTGGCGTCTCTGCTCCACAAGAGCCACTTGGTGGGCGAGTTCTGCAACTGGCCGTTGACGCCGGCGGCGTACAATGGAAGGAGGACGTACTCCGATGTCCTGCTTGGCGTCGGGCTGTCCCTTGATATCCGGTGAAGGTCGGGATCGAGGTGTCCAAGGGCCACCACTCTGGCTTTGGCAACCAGCTTGTCGGGTAGCTTGCTCTTGTTGCGGAAGCAAAGCTCGGCTCCTGAGGATTCTCGCCTCATCCCGGGGTCGGCCATGATCTTCTTGGCCTCCGCGTGTCCGGGCTCGACTGAACCCCATGTCTGCCAGGTGCGCTCTTCCTTGCGCGCCGCCTCCACGTACTGCTGCAGCTGGTCGGCGGGGAGCTGCGTGATCTTCCTCCAGGGGATCTCCCGCTCCAGGGCTGCGGCTTTGGACTCCTTGCGGGTCATGAAGCGCTTGGTTGGTTCTTTGGCCTCATCTCCCGACGAGTCGTCGTTGTCGGTGTCCTGGCCACCCATGCATGGGGTCTGCCTTGAGGACGTCGTACTCCTCAGGATCTCCGCAGCGTACTTGGCGTGAAGGGTGCAGTGCCATGGCGTGTGTTGCGCCAGATTTTCACTGCCGTCCCACAAGGCAGGTGGTGGTTCGATGCTGCCGTGAATCTCATGCAGCATAGCCTCGTGCGTGCGCTTGAAGGGCAACGCGGGCAGTGAGTCAGTGTGTTCCATCGCGGCCGTGTGATGGGACGTGCTTGAGGTTGGGTCGTGATCGCCGGTGAGGTCGATCAGTTGGTCTGGTGTGTCTGCCAGTCCAAATGGTGTCGTAGGTGCTTGTGCTCCGATGAGGTCCAGTAGTGGTGTGACCTCACCTTCAGGCTGTGCGTTGGGCTGCCTTATAGTCGTGGTATGTCGTGTGATGCTCGTGCTGTGCTAGCGTTGCTTCGTGGTGTGGTCGCTGGTGCTGCTGATGGTGATAGTGCCGGATGTAGTTGCACAGGTGGGCCTCTTGGTGAGGCCAATGCAGTTGCTGTTGGTGCGTTGCTAGCCGTAACGGTAGCTCCGGGATCTGCCGTCGGCAGGGCAGACGCCGGTGGTTGTTCCTGATTTGCTTGTTGTAGTGCTCGGCTCGGTGTGCGTGAGCGTCCGTGCGGTAGGTGCAGTGTTGGTGCTGCCTGTTGCTTTGTGCCACGAGGTATGCCAAACCTCTGGCCATGGTAGTGGTGCTCAGTGAAGGTTGGTGAGTTGATGTTCCTCCTGGTGGTGATGCTGTTGTACGGTCGGTGGTAGTGTTGGTGGTTCGTGAGGTTGAGAGGGTTGTGAAGGTGCCGGTTGTGGTTCCTGTGGTTGCGCCGGTGGTGCAAGTGGTAACTGGTAGGACTTCAGTGGGCTCGAACTGGTAGTCGTAGCTGTCCTCGTCTGGCGGTGGTGCGCCAGATCTGTGGTCCTCCCACATGTCTTGGCGAATGTTCTTTGCGGCGTCGTGGAGGATCTTGACGTCCTCCTGGCTGGGTGTCCATCACCACATGAGCTGCATATCCAACCGTGCTCAGCGCGCTCGAAGTAGGACGAGTGGCAAGCCATGCATCGCCAGCGATCGTCCTTGTCCATGGCATAGTTCCGATGGCGCGAGCTCGGTGGAGCAGGCCGGGTCGGTGAGCTGCCAGCGCGCACCGGCTGCACAGGCTCCTCAACCGTGGCATCCGGCCTGAAGGGCCCATCAGCGACCGGCTCATCGAAGTCGTACTCGGTGCCGTCGCTGGTGCCCATCATCGGCTTCCCGCTCCATGAAGAGGCGCGGAATGGCCGGCATGGCGTGCCCTGGGAAACGAGAGCTCAAGGCTCCGCTGCCAACTTGGCAAATCCCGCTTGCTGCGGCGCGGGCTTCTTTTTGCTAATGAATACTCGAGGCTCAGCCGGCTACGATCCATGCGGCAATCGCACATGCAAACGAATGCCACTTTCACAAACAATACACAGGAAACAAACAACCACCAATACCCAACAACTAGAAGCCAACAACTACATCAATCAAAACATGCAACTGGATCACGCCCCCCACCTCCGAGCTGGCAGAAAGAGCGCGGATCGTGCGCTGGCCGCCTTCCTGAAATGCATCTGAGTCCGGGGGTTAAGGCAAGTCAGGCCATCAAGGGAAATAGCTGGGTGGCGCTGGGGTATGCGCCCGAAATATGAATCCAGATATATACACATGTATATATATATATATATTCTAGATTATGTCTTTGGGCGTGTGCCACATTGGGGTACCCCAAAATAGTGTGGTTTCCCTTTGCACACCGCCCACTAAAAACTACCATCAAAAAACTCGCAAGCGGATGTATCGTTCATGCTTGCGTGGAGGGGCGGAACACAAACGATATGCATCTGGCGTTGCCACGCTGACACCTTGGTCGGAGTGAAGCCACACATTGCTGTACCTCCCAAGCTCGCCTAGCGTAGCGCTTCTGGACTTGCGCCTGCCCTTTCCGGGATTGGCATGCTGTCGCCTTACACCATTGCGCGTGCTCCAGAAGTGTGGGAAACTTCACAAATGAAGAGGCAAAATTGTGAGGTAAGACTGTGAAAGAATGTTCGTTTGGTGAAAGAACAAGTTGAAAATACACTGATGACGATGTACAAAAGGGGTCAATACGAAATATATACGAATAGAGTAGAAACTATGTAGTCAATTGTAGATTTGAAAATGACAATCTAAATGACAATGATTGAATGAGAAATACCAAAATATAGAGAGGGAGTTGTGCGCTGATGGCAAGGAATGCATCTGGTTTCTTTGTGTCTCTCATTCTATTCTCCTGGAAATGCTCTCAGAGATATTGAGAAACATTAGCTTACGCCCGGCTGGCACTTGGGAGCTTGGACGGGTGCCCAGCAACCTAGGGGCAAGCCTTGCAGGAAGCCACGCTAAGCCAACATACAATTTCCAGGCCAACCTTCAATTCCCAAGAGTGCCAACCTGGCTCTGAAATGACCCCAGTATGAAGGGGACAAAAGAACTGGCAATCTATGTTTGGTCCAACACACCAAAAAAAAAAAAAAAGGACGTAACCCACTGGGAATATGCCTTGAACACAGGCGCTTATAGCGACTTCGCGCTAAAAAACAATGCCACGTGCTCTGCACCCGGGTCCCGTCCCAGTTTTCGCCCCAACAAGGACCTGCGTGAGGGATGCATTGGGCAGCTTGTCCAACTTCTTCTCCAAGACCTCCTGACAAATTTGGCATGAGGGCTTCTCCCAATGGGGGAATCCCCAAACGGGTTGCTGTTCGTTTAGTGTCCTCCCATTCCTTTTCTCAAGCAATCCAAAGGGTCAGAGACGCCCATAGATGCCATTCGCTTCTAAAGCATTTAAGATGCCATTGCTTTGACCCCAACAAAAGTGACTGACGGCACCTTCTCCCAAATGTCATTGCGGGGCATGACGAAAACCCGATACTGCCCGTGAAAAAGGGGCGTGCTCAGACTCGTTACTGGGGATGTGCTATTTCGCCAAATCAAGGCAGCCAATGGGCTTTCAGTACGTTCAAAACTGTCACCTTCAGCACCAAACCAAGTTGCCACGGTGACTACTGCAGTTTGCTCTTCAGCCAAATGTCCCTTTGTTGGAGGGCATTGGCTGCGTGAGAGCAATGTGTTTGGGGCACCTGGCCTGGGCCCATGGGTGCGAGCTGGATAGTTAGCCGTGACCGCTTATTCCTAGTGTCTGATTTCGTCAAGTGCTAATGTTTCTCCGGGCATGTTAACCATGAACAGAACCAGAAAACAAAATATTCCCAAAGCAGTGAAAGTCTTGAGACTCCTGTACTGCTCCAGGAAGAAATGTAAGGTTATGGTTGGTATGAATTCTACGGCCCGGTTCCTTGCGAACGCTTTTGGACCTCAGCTTCTGCCTGTGGCAAATGTCTAAAGTCGCAGCCGGGAGCTGAGTTCGAAGAAGCGGCCCTGAAAACCACAAAGAATCATGCGCTTTCTGTCGGCTCAATTCATCCCAGCTGAGTGAAACTAGCAGAAAAAGGAATCGCTGCTTCTTGGGCTTGCCTTCCCATTTCAGAAGCCGCCAACTTGGCCCAGGACCCAGAAAACCCTAAATATAACACAATTCCGCTTGTTGAGGCGACCGAAGACGATGTAGAATCGTTTTGGAGACCCCAGAAAAGGATTTAGAGGGGTGGAATCTGGGACCCAGCCTTCATCTGCACTCGCTCCAAGCCCGCCAACTTGGACTGGAGCACCGCCAGCTTGTCCTCACGCGCTGGGTGAGGCGCAAAAGCCGTGTCCTAGGACTTCCCTCTGCTCACTTGGGAGAAAAAGTCTGAATCTGTGTTTACCATGGCAAAAAAGGGTGTCTTTTGTTAGGGGGTTCTCTTCAAAATGGCGGTGTTCCCTTCCCTTTCTAAAACCAACTTGTGCGTGTCTCCCGGAGGGAAGCCGCAAGCAAACGCCGATGCCCTTCCTGCAAGAAACCTCGAGGAAGATGGGACGCCATTCACTTTCCCAGAATTGGCGGCTGGCCGTTTTTTAGGGGATTTCTTGCGTTTCACTTTCTGGAGAGGCTGGAAATTCCACCAACCCATGAGGTAAAGTCAGCTTCCCTCTAATCGGTGGTTTCGATTGGTGGTGGTTAGGGAGTGATTTCCCATCTACCCTCTACAAGAGCAGGGGTTCAATTCTGAATCCAAGCCACCAATCCGAACCACCAATTCAGAGATACCGATTCCAGAAGGAAACCAACCGACGGCGAGAGACAATCGCCTCAGCCCATGGCCTCGGCCAAATTCCTTCGCTTCCGCTCCTCGAGGTCCTTCTCCTCGTCCGTCTTCGGCTCTGAGCCCATGACGATGGCCCCACCTGGCGAGAAAAAGGCGACGGGGCGCGCCGACAGAACCAGAAAAACGTGTTCTGCGTGATTTGTTGATCGTGCCCTTTTTCCCCAACAGCTGAGAGCTTGGGGGTCTCAGCCCAGATAGGCTCCGGGGTGGTCCGGGGCGGGCTTCCGCGAGGGTTCCACCAGGGTTGCACCGGGGTTGCACCAGGGTTCCACGAGGTTCTGCGAGGGCTGGGTGGTGCGAGCACTAAAAAGAGCACCGCATGCTGTTGGGGATATCACCTGAGCTTATTTTTGGGGGGGTTTGGGGGGGTGGGGGGGTTAGAGAAACACAAAGGGACAACCACCAGTTTGTTGAGGGGGGGGGGCCAAAAAAAAAGGCGCACCCTTCTGTTTCAACGCCCCGCACCCTATGAGCGCGGTCACGAGGAACGAAAAGGCTGCGATGGAATTGGCTGAGAGACATTGTTGCAAGCCGACCTCCAGGAAATCAAGCATCTGCCTCTCTCTTAGGGCAGGGTTCTTTGAACCAAAGTTCAGGTGCTTCTTCGAAAACCGGATATCCAGATTGAACACGTGAAATGCCATGGGTTTCACCGTGAGCAATCAAGGATCTTCAGGCAAAACCGAGATCTAAGCTTTCAAACTTGTGCTTGTTTCTCTCACAGGTTGCAGATTTGCAGAACCTTCCCAAGACACCCGTAACAGTCTTTCCATGCACGGTCACTTTGGGAAACTTCACTGTTTGCTGCCTCGCTCGCCGCAAAATAAATTATGATCGGAGCTGAGCGTTGTGGATTGTACTCCAACATCATGCAACAATCCCGCTACAGTAACTATGCCTTCCTGCACTTCACCACCCTCTTTATAATCATGGAAGTGGACAGGAGGTCTCTCCAAGAGAACTGTGATCTTTCAAAACCCTCCTGGCTTCTGTTTGGAAAAAGGGTAGCCCGACTGACACCAAAGATCAACCTCGGCGGGGGCCTGGTGCCTCCTTTGGTTCACCTCAGGTCAGGGCCCCAGTGGCCCAGACTGGGCCTTCTGGGACACGCATCCACCAATTCAGGAACATTTTGTTAGGGGGTGGGGTGTCCCACTTACCATGACGCCCGAAGGTGCAGCCTGTTCAGCGATTCATGCAGGGCATCAGGGGACAAAAAATCAAAATTCCCTAGGAGGCGGGCATTGCAACAGCAAACGCGACAAAGAAGCTACAAAAAATACAACACCAGCCTCGTGCTCTCCCCTCAGCAAGGCTGCTGGGGATCAGAACACGACTTGACATCTTAAAAGCTGATGCGATCATGCGCGTCAGCCCGATGCTAGTTGCCAACACAATGTGCCAGCGGCGTATCCAACTTCCAGCAAAAGTCAGAAAGCTGCACGCATCCAGCGCACCTTTGTTTTCAACTGGTACGGCGTCTACAACGCCAGCAACCGTTGACCAAACATATGAAAGGAAATCGAATTGAAGCCGGGCAAACCCATTGCAGCAAACCTACATTTTCGAGGTGCGGAAAACAGGGAGGGCAGCTTGGAAGGGCGTCTTGCTACCTTGGGCTTGGCATCACGCGTTGCTCCTCTGACCAAGGTGTGGACGGCCGGAACCCGCAAGCGATCGGACCCCGCTTGTTGCCCGTTCAACGGGCTCCCTGAATTCCGCTACCATGCTCTTGCAGCACTCCTGGTAGGTTTTTGGATACCACCAGCTCCTTGGTCTCCCTTGCCTCCCCCACCCAACAAAAAAGACATCACAGCCAGGGGGCTGTCCGGGAAGAGGGCGTTGTCCTCCGCCTCATCGTGCTTCACCAGCTTGATCTCCCCTGCCTTCTTCTGCAGGTTCGCAGCCTGAGCCAAATGTCCGGCAGGTGATGTCCGGTACCGGACATTAGCCGCTGTCGCCTTAAGAATCATATAAGCAAGGCTTGCTGTTCAACTTGGTATTAGCAAACAACAACTGCAGCTGGTTCAGTCTGTCAATTCGGAAAATGCAAAACAAACTGCAGGGTGTTGCTGAAGAAGCTGACGGCTCGGAGCCTTACCTGTTCCTGCTTGGCCGCATGAAAGCGCCCACCCTTGCCATGAAGCATCTGAGGTGATAAAGTGTCTGAAGTCTGGAGTGCGGAATCCTACCAAGTGAATCGCCATAAGTTTTTGAAACATGCACCTCTAGAAAATCGCCCAGTTCGCGTGAGGACCACCCCAGTAACCAGACCCCGCCCCCCCCCCCCTCCTCTCCCTGCTCTCAACGACTCGCAGAACCTGCCTTCATGGCTGCCTGCCTTGCTGCATCCTGCGCCGCTGCGAGCTCCTGACGAACGGGCAAACGGCGTCCACGAAAATGACGGAAGGGTGTCCGAAGGCCAACTTACCAAGCAAAAATGGATCCCAAAGGGTGCCTAGTGCCTAAGCCCAAAAATGCTGACCTGGAACCTACCAGGGGCTCCACACGTGTTTCGTCCATGGCTCAAAGTACGCAAATACAAGGATGTGCGATCACGAGTGCGTGCTTGCGCTCAAAAGCGGCCGCCTTCCCGAACCACCAGTAAGTTCTTTGGCGCCCATGCAGGTTTGCCGCAGCCACTAATTACGAAACAAAGAGGGGCGGACAAAAGTCTTCTAACAGAAGGCATTCTTGCAGATTGCAAACATGCAACATCAAGGGTCGATGGGGCCTTCCTGACAGCTGACACAATGCGAGGCGAAGTTCCAGCCCCGAAAACCGCGCGCCCCAGGCCTTCTCTGCCGCCGCTCGGTTCTCCGGGGTCACCGTGATGTTCATCGCGCGAAGCGTCGCGGTCGTCTCGTCCACCTGGGCCGAGTTTCGGCCGAAGGCTTGGCAGAGCCCAGGCCCAATCTATCAGCCGGGAGACGTTATGAATTGTTGAGAATTCAACATCGATATAAATGAATTAATTGAAATCATGTGTATGTACGCGTGAACAAACCTTTCAAACGCAGCACGGACGAGCAACGTTACTCATGTTTGAAAGGGATGCTGTCCCAATCAAACCGTACAATATGTATATTAAACGGTCTTTGTAATGTTGCTACGATGTTTCTAGGTGGAAACCGATTCAGATTCAAACAATATTGAAATATGTATTGAATGATGATGATGATATCGGCTTTACATGTATTCAAAACTAAGATCATTAAATGTAGTCGTGTGCCCAAAGGTTGCCAAGGACAGGGGCCACGGCCCGAATGTGCCATAGTTTGTGCGACTGGGGATGTGCCATAGTTTGTGGCATCCCAGTCGCACATTTGGCAGTCCGGAGGTCAACCCACTCTAAGCCACAATGAATAGGTATGGAGCCTACAAAGCACGGTCATCACCTTGCCTCCCTGCAAACGCACATGCTCTCTTGGGGTTTGAGCTCCACCCCAGACAACCTATGCCTAGAACGAAAAAACCCCAGGTTCATCATACTGCGGATGGACAAAGACCATTTCACACCGCCTACAACACCTTGGAACGAGTCGATTCCCCTGTAAAGCTTTCAAAGGGAACAATTGGAGAAATAACGTGAAACAACACAGTCTTCCTTAAAGGATGCATCCCAAGAACCTGCTCTAGGGACAGGATGAATGGCCCATCCTGGTATTTGGGGAAGATCGGCGCCGGATTAAAACACTGAGCGCTACATCGGGCACCCATCCCTTTTTGCCCCCGCTTGGTTTCGCTTTTGGGGAATGAAAGCCATTGGCTGCGCACATAAGGCTGTTTCTTCCGAGGCGCCTTGTCCTGTGCGACCTTGTCTTCTAGGGTGGCCCTTGTCACTGCCTGAAGGCGAGGCTTAGTCAGTGGGCGCTTGGTGAGTGGGTGCCTTATTGAGTTGTTAGTGGGTGGTGGTCATTTGCAGCTGCAACTGCCATGGCAAAGCACACGGGAATCATTGGAAGAGGGCGTTGCTGAAACGGCATCCGAATGGGGAAAACAATAGGAAACACGGGCAGCATTTGCGACTTGCCTGTGTTACAAGCCACAGCAAGACCAGTTGTAGAAAATTGCCACGGGACGTAGCTGCTACTCGTGAAATGATGAGACATGCTGCGAGTGAAAAATGAAAATATGGCCAGCTCCCTCACGGAATAATTCGAAGGACATCCAGAAGCGAAGGGCCACTTGCGAATCGACAACTCTTTGACATGGTTGGTTTCCCCCTGCATCGGCAACCGCCAAAAAAGAACGCAGCCGAGCGAGGTACATCGCTAATTACTTATCAGCGCATCCCTCCCCAAGCAGGAGTCACTGGATTTCACCGAATCAACAAGTTGATCAATTGACTGGCGGTTTCCCTTAAACGGTCGCCACTTTTGGAGGTTCCCTTCAAAGGGGAATGGCAAGGAAACCCTGGATTTTTCGGCTAATGCTGACCCTGTCTTTTCTGGGGGTGTGTTTCACCAATGGCTTTTCTGATTGAAAAAAGCGAAAAAACACAAACTGGATTTCGGTTCTCCTTTTGGTTTCCCTGCAAACCCAGCCATCCGTAGGACATTTTCAGCGCAGCCGCCTCCTCCGCAGCTTCCGCCACATCCGGGGGCGTGCCCGGGCCCAGGTCCTCCTTGGCGAACTTGGCCTCCTTCACCTGGCCGTTGGCGCACGGCTTTTCATCCAAAAAAAATCATTGAACTTTGCTATGGCCAGAAACGGACCCTATTAGCCCCGCCTTTTTGGTCGCCAGTAGCCCTATTGGGATTGGGGGGGTGCCTATTTGAGGGCCCCTGACAGCCATGGGAAACTTGGGGGCTCTCATATATTGAAGTTAAACTTTTGGCGGGATATGGGACAAACTCTGACAGTCTAAGTGAAAGGGCAGGCTTGCCCTTGGATCGAAGCCCGCAAAATGCCTTGGCCTGAACTTTGCGGACCACCAAGTCACTAGACGGGATGTGGAGAATTGGATCCCAGCTCCTTGGCTCCCTTCCAGTTCCAGTCATTCCAGTCATTCCGATCAGCGAGGTTTTGTGGAATGAAAGTTGCCCCTGTTGAAGTTCAGATTCCATGGGTCACGGGCCGGGCCGGCCTTCTCCGCCTTTGCGTGCTCCTCCTTCTCCGCCTCTTGCACGGCCTGCCGGGAACTCCATTTTGGAACTTGAGTTGCATGTTCGATTCAACAAGTTAGTAGGTGGGGATCGCCACTGCATGCCAAGTACGCAAGTTCGAGTGGCAATGGGTAGCAACATGCCACAAGCTTCCACCAAAACCGGGCGATTCAAAGACCCCGCTCACATGCCGTCGCCGCGGGTTGTTGCCGCGCGGTGTTCATGAGTGGCTGTGTGACTGCACTGCCGAAAACGACTCTAACAACGATAACACCAAAGCAAGCCATCAAACCTAACTACACAATGCGACCTAATTAAGTGATCAGCAAACCAGCAAACAGGTCGAAAACACGGCCCTGTCAACCCGAAGAAAGCTCCAAACATCGCCCGGCCTTTGCTGCAGCGTCCCTGGCCGCCTGAGGAACCTCCCCCTTCATCGCCTCCAACTTCTGCTGCTTTTCCGCCACCTGCGTGAACGGCAACCCATGGAACCCACCAGAGAAATGGCCTATTTTAAAGGAGAACAGTCTTCCAGGACCCCTCAGTGGGGTTCCATGTTACTGGGCAGGAGGGTACCAAGAAGCCAAATTAAGTCAGTAGTCATTAGTCATAGTCAATGTTCGACAAGACCCTATCATTTCCTAAGTCGCGGTCGGAAAAGTCCAGTGAGAGTGGCTGTGTACCACTGCATTGGTGCCAGGCACAATTCCAGCAAATGAAGTTAGCTTCGATTCACGAAAGTTGATCAATCAGCGGTCGACACCTCGGCCATGCACTTGTTTTGGCATGTGCCCGACACGCGAACCCAGGCTGCACCCATCTTTGCACCAATTCCATTTGCCACATGCCAAATCGAGACTAGCCATGAAACGCCCCTACTTTTCTGCCATGTGGGGCGTGTGGTGGAATAGGAGAACCCCTCAAAACAAATGCTTTAATTTTCGCGTCCCTTCAACATCACCCCAAAACAGTTCACAGGAGCCATCTACCGGATCACATGCGTCTCGATGCCGGCCTCAGCCTCTTTGGCTTTGGTCTCAGCCTCCGCCTCCTTGGCCTCCTAGCGGAATTTCGGTGGAGGCCGGGAGACCGGGAGACTGGGGGAGGGCGGGGGTCCTTCTAATGGGTATGGAATAAGCTCCAGGAAGCTTAAAGGGAAAACTGCCCAATGGTTTACCGGGGTGTCGGCTTTTCGACTGGGCGCCTTAAAGGATACACACTTGAGGAGCGGGTGAACGAAAGCTAGCAGTTGTTGCATGAGATGGGTCGGTGACAGAGTGGATTCATAGGTAGCTTGTGTACAACGAGAGGCCCGGCAAGATTCGTAGGATGCGACACGCAAACGCACATGGTGGCGTGGCAAACCTTGAAAAATGAAAACAACGAGAGGCGTCAGAAGCTGTCTTAAAGCACCTCTGGGTTCTGCATGCTGCGTGTGCAAAGATTCTTGCGAGGTGGTTTGCCGAGAAGACTGAGGTCTCAAATGAACAAGCTGAATCGGTGGAACATATAAAGTTCGTAGCACCAAGTCCAAAACGGGCAAACCGAGACTGCTGAACACTGAGCCACTGCCCGGGGGGGGGGATGGACCAGGGAGGAATCGAGCCTGAGACCCGGGGGGGGGGAGGGGGGGGGGGGGTCTAAATAATTGATGTTTTTCAATCTTTTCGGCTCAAATAATTGAAAAAATCAATCTTTCGGCATTTGAGCCCCTTACCTTGCTTACGCAAGGAGAAACTTCAGCTAGCTAAAGCTAGCTTTCGTGATCAAAACAGCAACAGCAATACAAACAAGAATCCGCGAAATCAGCCGGTAAGAGTTGTGCTTTAACTTGTCCAAGTGCCTGCTTTCTCGGAGCGTTGTCGGGGGTCGTAGAAACTTTGATGTACATGGTCTGCACTTGGCGCTCCCAAACCGCCTGCTGAGCTACGATGTGGCAAATGAGCAAACGATGGACATCCAGTTCCAAATGCAACAAGTGCGGACCAGTGCGGACCAGTGCGGATAGGATCGGCAAAGCTCTGAGTCCAAGGGGCACATTGACGAGAGGGACCATTTTGGCCATCCATGAATAAGAACGTGTTGATTTCAAAAAGGGATCCGCAGTCCCTTTTCTTAGCGCGCCTTTGCTGGCACCAATCTTCGCCCTACCAACCTGGACTGCACCTTGTACCCTCCATGTAGCATCTTCAAACAGACCCCTATCAGCCTCCAGTTTCGGCTCCCGAAAAAGGACTGCTGATAGCACTGGCTGCCAGACCTTCACATTGGTCAGCACCGCAACTAGTCATCTTGGATTTGCTTAAGACTATGCTTGATTTTCCCTTGTTGTTTAAAAGGAATCTATCACTACTGGATATATGTTTTATCCTTCCCAGGCAGCTATTGGAAGTCGTTCATCCCCCCAAAGCTTAGTCCAGTTGTCTTTTACAGGGGCACCTCTTCTCTGGCCGGCCAATTCTGCTTGGCAAGTAGGTTGCACCTCTCCACGCAAGAACAGGACCTGGCTTTCAGCCTACCCCGCTCAACTCACGGGAGGAGACGAGGTGTCCAAGCTGACCTCATGATTGGTTCGCTGCCGCAATGGTAGCTGAGGCAACCCCCAAACCATCCAACTGGCTACAGGCCCTTCCGAATGGTTCATTTACTGATTGCGGCTTCATGTAACCATTGGTTGATCCGAGCGATCCCACCTTTCCGGAAAAAAACGCAACTGGCAGTGTGTTTTTTGTTGAGGCCCGGTACCTATCCAGGGGTTGGCACATTAAAAAGACGACAGGAATAAGTCTAGGGCACCACTCTTTTCCTACGAGGTGTCACCCCTTTTCCTCATGTGTGGTACTCTTGAAAAGGGATTGGCTTACTTGCTGGTGCTGGTGCTCGGCAATGAGGGAATGAACCTGGGGATTCCTTTAAAGAAAGCCACTAGTTGGATTGTTTTTGTCGGGGTAATTCAATTTCTAATTCCCTGCATATCGCACAAGCGAGTTTAGAAACAGCCAAAAAGGAAACTATGAGGTCTCACCACTTTTCCTCATGCGCCCTCACCTCATGTGTGGTACTCTTTGAGGGGTTGGTCTAGAAAACATCCCAGAAGGAAGCCACACCTTTGCCCGTCCTTGGTGGCTTCCACCTTGGCCTCTTTGGCCTCCTCGTCCGCCGCGTGCTCAATGGCCTGATCCCGGATAAGCGGACGGCCGATCGGCCGGCCCCGCGGACCCAAATCCAACCCAAGAAGTGCAGCTTTGGGTCGGCTTCAATTAGCGGCTTCCTGTTCGGGTTGAAAGGGAATATATTTATTAAAATCAAAAAACAACTAAAAAGCCAAAGCGGTAGGCTAAATTCGGCCTGGATGGGAGAACAGAACATGCAGTTGTCAGTGAACCGGGTGCCACCAACCCTTGGGCAGAAGAACGAAAGGGCTGGGAGTGGGCTTCTGGTGGATTCCAATCTTGCTGTACTATCCTCACCGACCCAAAATAGGCGGGGAGAAGAGCTAAGATTTGGCCGTAGGGCTAGCCAAAATGCACTCATTGGCAAAGCTGTGGACACACGTGAACTGCGCCCGCAAACACACACGTATACACATATGAATATGTGTGTGTGTGTGCACGCTTAGCTTATGTACAAAACAATGCAGTAAAGGCAAGCGAGACCCCTTGCATAAACTCAGCACAATCTGCATATACATATACAAATGTATACTATGCGTACATGCACACACCGGTTAGCAGCTTTAGCAACAAGCGGCTACGAGAAGCCCAGAATTGAAACGAGAATCCAGCAATCTACGAGGTGGCAGCCTCAAACGTCCCAAGTCCACTGATGGGAGTATACCGCATTTGTCAGCCTCAAAAAGCGCTGCGACCCACACACCTTCACAATCGAAAGCAAATTGCTTGGCGATGGGTTTGGGATGGTTTGGGCGCCACGCGAGGGTGGCTTCAACTGAGGCCACCCTTGCGGATGGTGCACCCTTTCGGGTGGGCCTTGATGGCGACCTCAAGAATCCTTCGGGGCTTGACATTTAGAGCTCGTCCCCTTCATCCCTGCCAAATAAGCCATCATAGACGACCCAAACCGCACATAGGTACGTCAAACTAGTGGCATGGAGCCCCAAATGTTCAAGCTTGGTGTTTTCCTTTTTGGTTTCTCTTCAAAGCCAACAAGTTGACAAGCCAACAAGGCTACCCGGCTCAGCCAAAACACACCGATCGATCCGCTCTCCGCTCTCCTGGCCTTCTCTGCCTCCTCCTTTGCCGCCTCCACTGTGAGCTTCTCCACGTGCTTCTTCGCCTCAGCTTCTTTCCATTTGCGTTTTCATCGTTTTCGCCTGTCCAATAAAAAGATCCCCTTTAAAACCAACAAGGGGGAAGAACGATTCTTAAGCAAATGGAGGCTTCCCTCTGGTTGGTGGTTTGGATTGGTTGTTTTGTGGCTAGGATGGTTTCCATGGGTTCAAATCCCCAAGCACCAAGTAAGCGCTACCCGAGCCTGGGTCGGACCTGACGAAAAAGGCACCTCCTTGCTTGCCCAGCAGCCATGGGGAAAAATGCACTCAAGTGAAACTCGTCAAGATCACGAGGAAGTCTTTTGGCTTGACAAAAGCACAAAAAAGCTGAGAGAAGTTCCCCTCCCCTCAATTCCCCAGCCAGATCCCACATTCCATCGCCTCCTCCGCAGCTTGCTGGGCCCGATTCTCTGCGATCTCGGCGTCCTGGCCGACAGGAGCAGGCAATCTTCGGGGCGCCCTTTGGCTTCCTTTGGAGTGAATGTTTAACCGTCCCATTTAGCACCCACCAGAAACGCAAGCGAGCAGTGAAAAACAGAACCTTTGATGCCGTGCTCTTGTTCATCTATTTCACCTACAATCTGTCGACAGCCTCAAGTCGAGGAATCATGGCTGCTTGACATCGATCTGGCATGTAGTGCCTAAGTTCAGCCGGTTGATGTATTTGCTAAGCTTGAATCTCCGGGCTGGCGTGAATGGGAAAACAAGAATCACAACCCCTCAAGAAGACACAAAGCCGCCACCACGGAAATGCGCTGGACGGGACTCTTAGATCATTCTGGCCTCTTTCTGCCTAGAAAAAACCGGGGAAGCCACTTTCCTCTTTTCGGTGGGGCTTGCAGTGCGATTGGTTTACTTGCCACGTTTCAAGCAGACCCCCAGTGGATTTCAAGCAAAAGAAACCAAGGCCACTGCATTTGTTGGTCCGTCTTTCAAGCCCAGGCCCTTGATATATTACCGCGCCTGCCACTGCCGCGCCTTCTCGGCCGCCTCATTTGCGGCGGCCGCCACCTCGGGCGGCAAAAATCAAAGCCTCCTGAACCGAAACGCCACGGCTCGAGGGTCTTCTGTTCAAAATCCGATGCTCCATCATTGGTACCACTGCGAAGGGGAAAACCCCTTTCGTAAGGTGAGGATTAAGGATTAAGGATTGCCTTTGAACGGCCCAGGAAGTAGACCTTGTGCTGGATTTTTATCGGGCGCCCGCTTTTGGTGCGAATCCGAATCACTTTCGGAGGAAAGAGACCCCGCTATGAATTGGAGCAGCTTCATTAATCCGGGGATATTGTGAATTTTAATTGGGGACCCTTGATTGAGGTGAGTTTCCCCTTGTTTGAGGTGATTGCCGTTTGGGGAAAGATGGGTGTTTAGGGTGGCCTCAGGGTGGCTTTGCGGATTGAGTTTGGGTCGGTGTACACTTGGTGTAGGGTAAGCGGAGGGTTGGTTAGGGTGGGGCCAGAAGGGTGTGTTTGGGTGGGGCTTGCGGTGGGTCTAGGGTTGACACAAGTCACAGAAGCCGCCAACGAAAAAAAAGACGACAAAGTCCAGGAAGATGATGAACAGTATCATCGTAGCATCCGCTGCATCTCCAACGATGACGATGATAAGTATCATCGAAGCATCCCCTGCATCTCCAACAGTTGGTCATCCACCGTTGTCATCATCATCATCGTCATCATCATCCACTGTTGGAGATGCAGGGGATGCTACGACAATACTTGTCATCGTCTTCGTTGGAGATGCAGCGGATGCTAGGATAATACTTTTATCATCTTCCTCACCAACAAAAGCAACCAACATCCAGACACTCAACCCTTGGAAAGCAGGTTCTTTAACAGAACCACATGCCCTTCTCGGGGTCGGCATAGGGCTGACCTCCGACAGGTCCGTTTTCGGATTCCACATAGCCCTTGAGGGGAAAATCAAAAGACCATCCTACCTCACTCCGACTCACTCCCCCAAACCTCGCCAGTTTTGGAAGGAGACCCCACCCCAGAAGCCGCGCCTTGTCCACGGTGTCCACTAGCGGCGCAGCTTGCGAGTTCGGGATGGGCGGCGCACCGGCGGGTACCTTCAAAGTGCTCGCAGCTGGTTTTTGCTTTTTGGGCCGGGCCCCTTAAAGATTCTCCAAATTCGTATTGTTGTTTGCTTTTGCTCTGTTTTATTATATATTTTTTTCTGGGGGGGGGGGGCGAGCAGGTGCAGTCAACAAACCAGAGTCAAGAGTGCCTTGCTAGCACTGTTGTATATTCCACATTCCACTTGATATCCGGCCAAAAAAAGGAAAAGGACAACCGGCACTCACATGCGCTCGGACTGACGATCCCGATGTTGCTTGTGTACGTGTACGCAGGACACTTGTTGCCCAAACATGCAGTTAAAAGGTGCGAAGAAAGCTCAGCATTCCGGGGCATGCTTAGGCATCTCCAAGTGTTGAACATGTTTAGCACATGCTCATTTGCAAAAAAAGAAAACTGCCACACTCTGCAAGTCTCACATGGATCCCCGGACCCCCCGGGACAACTCACGTGCCCAACTTGATGCCGCGCACCGGTGTGGAAGATGCCACGGGAGGTTCCGTCTCCATTGTCTGGTTGGAGCCGTTGAAAGGCTTGAACTCCGGCTTGTCCGGCTTGTCCAGCTTGTCCGGCTTGTCCGGCTTGTCCGGCTTCTGACAAAAGCTTGCCAGGACATGTCAAAAATAACCTGTCAAGCAACTTCCTGGTTTTCCAAACGGCGCAGTTGCGCCAAGCAAATGGCTTCTGAGGTCTTGGCCCTATGAGGCCTAAACATGGCGAAAGATGCCCACAGCTCTATCACACTCCTGTTCCTATCCAAATTCAGCCACACTTTCAGCTCGCAAGAAGCGGTCCACCCTGCGCAATCGCCCGAATAACCTGGCAACCAGCAGTAGTTATGGGAAGTGATGCTGAAAATGATTTGGAACGGAAAGCTGAGGATGGCTCATCCCCATGTTCCATGCGTGCGCGAAAACAAGAATCTGCTTCTCGAACTGGTTTCAAAGTCAGTACCATGAAGTGGCAACGGGAACGAAGGAGGGTTTGTAGATAAGGCGGCCCCCAAGGCGGGTGCAAACAAATAATTGAAGGATCCCTGCCCAAACGGGCCCAGCATACGTATGCAAATGCACTTTTACAAGCATACGTAAATGCGCGCATACATTTTCAAATGATTTGTCAGTATGCATGTGTATGTATGTACGTATGTAGTTAGGTAGGTGGGTAATGCATGTAATGTGCTACAGTGTGCGTATATGTCTTTGTGTGTCTCGCCGCAAGTGGGCCGGAAGTGGCCAAGTTTCTTGGCTTGTAGCCCACCGGAAGCAACGAGCCAAGTGCACGTTTGTTACTGGGAGCACCAAAAAGCATCCCCGCTTTGTTTTTCTGTGAACCACACCAGGCCTCGAAATCATGGTGCTCGATGGGCGCCATGGTGGCGTTGATGATCTGACCGACCCAAAAGGCAGAAGCCGAAGTGCAAGACTCAAACCCAGAGTGGAACCCCGGATCGAAGTAGAACGGGTGTCACCCACAAGTGAAGGATTAGCACAGCAAGGGGACATCCCCCACTTAATCAACCAGTTCATTAATCTGGGATTCCCATTAACCCAGCCTTTAAAAGAGTACCCTCTAAAAACATTCCATGGCGGCATCAGAGCCTCTGGCTTGCCAAGTGAATCAAATCCATTTGTCCAACTTGCCGGTTCCCAGGCAATCGCGCAGGAAACGATGCGCGAGGCCATTTGGGGTTATGTCCAAATGGGACCTCCGTGGGTGGTTTTTGTGTTGGCTTCCTTTAAACTTGAAAACAACTGAAATGGCATCCTCAAAAACGACAAGCCAATTTTAGAGATCAGCCGTGGAGTGGCGCATGCTTCCACCGGCCGGGCAAGGGTTCCATGTTTCACCCAGGGTTCTATGCATGGACCCCCGTGGATGTTTCAGGATTCGACCCCAAATTCCACCATACGTCGAACCTGACAAGGGGGGGGGGTTCTAGAAAACAATTTTCGTTGTAAAGGGACCCCCTGTCCAGGTTCCATGTTGGTTGGTGGGCCTGCTTCAGACAACTCTCCAAAATACATATATTTCCCCAACCTTGTCGATCTTGACCAGGGAATTCTTAATCATACATTACCTTGTTGGCACATGTTGTGTGTGACATTTAGTAGAGTAGGGGGTCCTTTAGTGGACATCAACATTCGGTGGGGGTTTCTGTCAACAAACCACTTTTGAGGAGGATTCCCCCATTCTTTTCAACCATTGTTCTTTTCAAAAACTGGATCTATTCTCCCCCGGTTCTGGAGGTTTTCTAGAAAGATTAGGATCCCTGGCAAAGAATGGAAATGGAAGGTACCCCCTCTCACTTCCTGAGTGGGCTGGCCAAAATTTTTTGATATTTACCCCAAAGGTGGTCTTCCACAATAAAATAAGTCCAGGAACTCAGGAAGGTATCCCTAGAATAATGAACGTCAGTGGCACCCATCATACCCTGGACAGGCCTCCTGAGTTGTCTCTGCCCACGCGCTTGCGTTGGTGCCGAAGACCTCATCTGCGAAGGCCTCGGGAAAATTGGCCGCTCTGGAAACGATCCGCGCGGAAGGCTGTCCTTTTGTTTTTCTGGTCCCCTGCCAAAAGCGGAAAACTTTTAGTGGCTCAAATAGATTTTCTGGTGGGTGACATGGAACTTTTAGTAGGTTAAATCTGCAAACCCCACCACTAAACCCAAACAAAAACATTTAAAACCTAAAGAACCGCACAGCTGGGAACCACCAAGACCCGGAAGCCTGCTGTTCCGAACAAAAGCCTTGGCCAATGCAAAATGCAATCTCCTGATAGCAAACAGTCCGCTCCCCTTTTGGTTTGGATTGGTGGGGAGTGGGATCTCCCCCATTTACCCTTGACAAGTACCAGGGCTTCCTTTCCGAATCCAACATCCAAACCACCAATTGAGGGCAGACACAGCAAGGTCCCCAGCCCTCCCACCCAGGTTCTTTGTCGAGAGCGGGTGGCACCTGTGCTGTGATCCTCAAGTTCACATCCCTCCCCAGGTTTGCCTCAGGCTCACCTGGGGAGGGTCCAACTTGCCGCAAACCTACCCTCCCCTGAATGTAACAGGGTTGGGGGGGTGGGAGAAAAAGGAAATCAAGATGGGTGGCCAAAATGGCCGTGGGCCCACCACCTCCCACAATCTTGCAAACGTGTCATGCGCATATGTCGTTGCGCGTACGACACAGCAAGGTCCCCAGCCCTCCCACCCAGGTTCTTTGTCGAGAGCGGGTGGCACCTGTGCTGTGATCCTCAAATTCACATCCCTCCCCAGGTTTGCCTCAGGCTCACCTGGGGAGGGCCCAACTTGCCGCAAACCTACCCTCTATGCCTACGGCGCGGCTGCCCTACACTTGATGCAGGTTACCTTGTCAAGCGAGCCCTGTTCGAAGACGAAGGTGGAGAAGCCATAGTACCACCCACATCTGGTTCTCCATGATGCTGGAGGGGAACACGCCACTCTGCTCACATTGCGTGGAGAACCGACCTCTGCAAGCTTTTCACCAGGGAAGGCAGGTCTCCGTGGCTCGCTTCGATCTTCTCGCGCGATGCTCCCGCTTCACCTGCACAACACACGCGCCACCCGGTGCAACTTCCGCGCATGGCCCATTCCCATTGTTCCAGGCATAACACTTCGCCGCATCCTGCCCCTTGCCTTTCCCCTTGCCACGCCTGCCTTTGGAGGGAGTGAGCACCACTGGTTGTTCGCGATCTTCTCTGCCGCCCTTTCTGCGCTTCTTGGAGGATCTCCCATTGGCGCTCACCATCCCGGTCTTGACCATGCCCTCGTCCTCCGCTCAGCTTCTTGGTGACCTTCTCCTCCGGCGTCTCTGGCAGCCCCCCTCTTCCTCCTTGGGCTAGCCACGCGGTGCCCTGGATGATGACCTGTCGTCGTCCACCAAGGCCCTCAGCAGCGACTCCCACGGCTTGTCCGCGTTGAAGCCCACCAAGTTGGCTCTTAACTTCAGCTGTGTGAAGTGCTCGGAGCGTCTGCCTGGTAGATCAAGTGCCAGCAGCCCGGGAAGTTTCTCACCAACTTTTTGATGTGGGTCTCGTAGGGGGACACCCAGCATGATGAGAGCCGTCCGGTACACCCTGAAGCTCGCAAGCCACATCTCGAAGTTCGCTGGTCCCGAAATTTCCTTCGTCATGAAGCCCTCCAGCGTCGGAACATAGGTTCGAAATTTCGAAGCCCGCAGTGCCTTCTTGCCATAGGGGACAAACACGCTGAGGTCCGCGTAGGGGGCTGCCTTCATCCGCCGGTTCATTGCTGAGAGCTGTTCCATGGACGGCTCCTCCTCTTCTGGGGGCAACCCACCTACTACGGCCCGTTTCTCCTCCGGCTCCACCACGAACTCCGTTTCGTCTCCTTGGTCTAGGATGTGGGTCATCTTCATCTTTGGCTCTAGAGACCGACCTTCGCCACCTCCAAAACCACGATCTGGACCGGGCGCCCAATCCTCCGGAGTCTTTCAAGGGTTCGTGTCTAACCACCGCTCCCAAAAACCTCCATCTCGAACATGCCAAATCCTCCTCGCCAACCTGAACATCAACCCCACCTGCGAAGCCTGGATGGCTGTCAAGGCCACACCTTCCTTCCACCAGGGCATTCTCGCAAGCCAGGGCGATGGCTGCAGGAGGCAAGGCTGCGAAGGGCCGAAGGTCCTCTCCAGGATCGCCCATCGTGCCCGTCACAGCGCCCCACACGTCCTGCGTCACCCCGTAAATCTCCCGCAGGCCCGTCAAGTTCTCGACCTGCATCGCATCCACCTGGGCAGGGAACGACATCCTCCAGGGTGAGCGCGAGGAGGAAGGCCCAAACCCACATGGCAAGAAAAAGGAAATCAAGATGGTGGGCCTTGAGCCAAAATGGCTGTGGGCCCACCACCTCCCAATCTTGCAAACGTGTCATGCGCATATGTCGTTGCGCGAGCTCCGTCTCATATGCTTTACAACAATTAAGAACTGGAAAGGGGGCCGGTTTTTCACTTAGCCCCACAAAAACAAACAAGGCTCTCCACCGCAAACTGGAGTGCCTGCCTCCGGACCCACAGTTAGCCAAGGTAACTAGACGGCACAAACAAATGCGTATTCAACCCCGCTGAAAAAGAGTCAGCCCTTTTCTTTGCAAAACTCTATGGGAATTCTGCAATGCTTCACCCATGCTCCAAGCTTTGAGTAGAAACCATGGAAATTGACTTGCCTGAAGCCCGAGATATGGTGAACCAACTGAGGGCCAGAGCCGGCCTTACTCCTCACCATCAAAAAAAAAAAGCAAGCTCTTGTCCAAACAATGGCAAACAGGCAAGACAAAATAGCTGAGTTGGGTTGGTCTTCGAGGAACTCTCTCTCTATATAAAGAACCCCCCACACAAAGTAGAAAGTGGCAACATGGAGGCCTGTTTTCCATCATAGGATGTTCACCTTGGCTCTTTTCTTCAACGCCCCAAAGGATGATCAGAATACTCTGTGAAGAAACATGGCCCCTTGAATCAAACAATACCCTACATTCTCACCGGACGCACGTTGATTCAGAACAGCTGGTGTCAAATTTGACCAACATGTATCCTTTGCTTCCTTTTTGCTCAAGTCTCTGGAAAAAGTAAACAAACGTTCCAGTAGTGATAGATTCCACAGGAAGGCGTCCTGGAATCAGTTTTCCTTTTTGAGGGACCGGGTCCCTGTCAGGTTCCATGTGAAAAGGGCGGGAGGGTGAGCACATGGAGGTTTAAGGACCCCTGACAAAGAAGCAAACAATTCAGAGGAGCCGCCTCGCCGGAGTTGAGCTTCTCCATAGCCTTCTCCAGAATCATCACCTCAGTGGGAATGGCTTGGCCTCGTTTGGAAAAAATAAACACGGGGAACCCCTTGAACTGGGAGCAAAAAGTCCGGTAAACATGAGGGAAACCACCAAGATTCGACCTGACCACATGGGATGGTCATTTTGGTGCAACAACTAAGTCTCAGCTGGTGAAACCGTGATTTCTAGAGTCGTGCCAAGGAAAACGCTTCTTCGAGGGAACAACAACTTGGAAAGTTGATTACCTGGAGCCACCACCCGCAGCCTTGCATGCCTGCATGCAGCAAGGAGGACGTAACCATGGTTGCCAACACCCTCAATGAAGGAAACGCTTCCTCGCAGTCCTTTAACCACATCCCTTTGATGGGAATGTAGCTGACTGCACATGTCGGAGTAGCCCCAGCCTCATGGGTGACCATAAAATTGCCTGTGGAAATTGACGCAATCGTCACGCAAATTTGTCAGTGAGCCGGTGCAAAGCTTGTCATGGGCACTATATGGGCACTTTCATGCACCGAGTGGGCTGAGATTCACCAAGAACAATGACAAAAAAGTCATCATCTTGCAGGAACCCTCTATTTTCCTGCAAGCACGGCCCGCCAAAAGGAACCTCACATAAAATTGCACCTCAGGTGATGTTAAATTAAACCAAAGTCCGTTTCGCCCGTTTCTTCAAGCAGCCCATGCCATGGCTGTTTTTGTTTTTTTTTTTCTCCCCCTTTCGCGATGCACAACTGAGGCCTTTTTCAAGGCCTCAATTGCCAAGTCATCCGCTGACACGTTGTGCGCCTAAGGCAAAAACTTCGACCCGCTTAAGGATCAGGACAGGGGCGTGCCAACACGGAAAAAATGCTCAAGGCTTCCACCGAAAAAGCCCACCATGTACCAGTCCCATGAAGGACGACCCTGTCTGAGGCTTCTCAAGCGCCTGGAGAGTACCCTCCTAGGCAATGGAATGGTCATGCAAACGGCACAGGCTTGAACCCGGCCGACCCCGCGATCTCAAGACAAGTTCAGTTAGGCAAGAGTTGCTACATCAAACAAACCAAGCCTGACTAAACCCAGACCCACAGCTCAATTGGGTCCGATTGTGCGACGTCCGAGATCGCAAGCCTGGGGAATAGATTGACAAAGCCGAGCGCTGCTTTCTCATCTGCCCTGCTGGCGGTGAGTAGCAGCACCAGGTCTTGAGTGATTGCTCCGCAAAAGGCAGCGCAGGGCGAACAAATAGATCAACAGGTTGCTGGATGAAACCAAGGTAATTAACGTGGTGGTCGCAAAAAAAGTCATGTTCTGCGCCATGTCAACTGGGATGCCGAGCGAATTACAGGAAGCCTTAAAGGACACCTCGCAGAGACCGTACGCCCCCTGCTGGTGGCAAGATTCGTTTCTGCAACTGCGGAATGCCGTCCTCCACACGCGCAATCCTTTGTGCCACTGTCTGACACTTTCGCTGGAGCAGAACGCATGCAAAAAAGATGCGCTTATCTTGGACGTGCTCTGGCAGCTGGCATGTGCACATCCACCTGAAACCCCCCTTCCTCTTGACAAGCAATCTACGATGGCCTAGCCAGAATGACCTTCATGAGGAGATGCCTCTTGGGCTCGTATGAGATCATGTGCCTATTAGAGGTGTCTTGCACAGATTGCGCGTTTGACAGAAGTCCTGCTCATCCATGTGGGCAGAGCGTCTTGCAAAAAGGCTGGTCTGAAGTCCTCCTGTGGTTTCATTGAGGGCGGGAGCACATGCTAGCGGAGAGCAACGTCGAGGGATTTGGGCGGCTTCGATGATTTGCACCATCGGAAAGCCAGCCGCCAACTTATCAGCGGAGGCACTGAACCTCTGCTCCTTTCCGCCTCACGGAAAACATGCTCGTCTCTTCAGCCCCGGCCCCGGCGTCAAATTATTGTGGGTGAGCTTACGACACACCACAGCTGAACCGAGGTTTATGTGACTTGTGCTGGTTTGGAATAACCAGTGCCAGGGATTGAAATCTCAAAAAGGGAGTAAGGGTAACCTGAAATAACTACATTCTCAGGGTCCGTTCAAGTGAGATTGCGACTAGCTCCGTCCAGCATGACGCCAGTGACTTGTCCAAGGCTGCCGTGAGGGAACGCTGCTTGCTCCGTGCAAAACCTGCCGAAGTGAGCAAGCAGCGATCAGATCACCCTGCGTGCAGCCCGCCTTTGCGCAAAACCTTTGGGAAGTCCCGAGTTCACAATTCCCTGCCTAAGGAAAAAATGGCTCAGCCATGGCTTTTGCAGCAGCGCATCGGCTTGTAAGGCATGCAAGGCAGGGCGTGTCTTGACAAATAATCGGAGTCCGCAACAACTTGTGGTGTCCCTTCGTTTTTTCTTGTGAGACACAAAAAGTATACTCTTGAACAACAGGCACACGCTCTTGGTCACTCGCAGGGGACCCAGCCTGCCATCAGGCCGTGGAATTATACGCCTGGCAAGGCGTGAACACCCTCGGCAAGGGTCCAACTCACCTCGTGGATTGCCTCCAAGAAATGTCAAACGTTTTTGTGGGGTTGTCTCCAAATGAGCCCATCCTTTCAGGTGGGGGCGTTGTTGTTTTTTGTTGTTTTTTCCGCTTCCCTTTAGACCAACCAAAAAGGGGATCCCACAAAAAAGAGACACGTGCCCTTGCCATGATGTTCTGTTGGGCCGCTTCTTTTCTGGTGCTCTGTGGCTCCAACGCGGGAAGTAAAGGAAATCGCAATGGGGGCCCTTGGTGAAGCTGAGAACTTGAACTTGCGCCGATGCAGTCATTTCCTGACACAGGAAACCAACGAATACAAAGCCAAGCGCAAAGCTGCTTCATCTACTGTGCACTGGTGCATATGAAACACACACACACACACATATCTATGTATATACATACATGTGTGCGCGTGTGTCAGTGAGGGCTGCAAGGCAGGACTTTCGAACGAGTCAAAGGATCTGCCACAAACGTTGCCTCTGAGAAGTTTCCCAGATAGATCCCCTCTTTCCCACGGCCCTCCCCAGTCATTTCGCAGAAAACCCCGTGCGTGGGCCATTTCTTCCGTTCTTCGCAAATCCAGGAAGATAGCCCGAGTGCGTTTTGCTCCGTTAATGCCGCCGGCAAACTGAAGTACTCCTCTTCACATTGCTCCTTGGGAGAGAGGAAGGAAAGCATGCTCCAAGAGGAAGTAGCACTGGCCTCGGATGGTGCACCTTGTCCATACCATTACACCGCATCTGCAACTTGTTTGCGAAGCGAGGCAAGGAGGCAAATTGTATCGCAGGCCCGCTGGATCAATACGCGCCGCACTTTCACTGCTGCCAAGGCCTCAAGTCAAGGAATGAAACCCCTGACGGCTTATACATCTATATAGCCTTATTTGCGCTTGTTTGTGCAGCCTTGTTCGCAAAATATTTTGCGTGCATAGACACACAAGCATGTATATTTTTGTATGTATATATATATATACGTATATGTATATCTATGCATACACACATACCATGTATGCTCCAATGCGGAGACCACCCATGCCTAAGGACTCACGAGCCAAGCAAAACGATCCGCAGGCTCTACGAGGGGAGTGGCTCCATCCGATCAGGGTTTCCCAGATTTGCGGAACCGCTTCCCCGAACAGAACACACCCTGAAATCCATGAGGGGTCCCCATTGCTTATCAGTATCAGCCCGAGAGGCCATCGTAGAAACTTCATTGCGCTGCTCCAGCGTCTCAGCCATTTCTGCTGCGACTTTCCTGTCAGGCTTGGAAGGCTTGTCTTTGACTCTTGCTCAACTTCCATGGAGGCGCAAAACGGTGGCAAAACTTCCACATCAACCCCGAACCTGATTTCAAGGGCTCTTTGAGTGCGATTCTTCGTGCGGCTTCGTCTCACCCCCCGAAACAGGAAAGCCGACTGCATGTCAGAAATCACATTCTCTCGTGTGTTTGTCCAAAATAAGGGGAACCCAACCCAAAAGTGGTTAGTTTCCTTGTGGTTTTTCTTTAGCACAATCCCGAAAAAGAAAAAAAAGAGAGAAAAAAAAAAAGAGAGGAACAAAAAACAGCTACAAATTTTCGGGGGCCTGGCATGACGCAAGAGCACCAAACTTCCTCGAGGCTTCCCGGGCTACCACCCGGTGTAAGACAGGAAGGAGATCAACTTGGAGACACACATGCACATGAACCAATACAGCAATATTTAAGAAAACATGCCAGAAGCAAAGAGCAAGCACCAAACTTCAAGGATTCCACCGGGCGCCTTTCAAACAACATATTTAAACATGTCAGCGACTAAAAGCAGGCTCCAAGAGCGGAAAATCAAGGACCCTGCAAGAGGTGCTGAAAGTGTGGGCGTGCGTGTGTACACCAAAAAGATATGTAGATAGTAAACAGGGCACCTAGATATAAACAATTAAATAGCTATATATGTATGTACCAACATGCACGCATGGTTTTGCATGTGTGCACGCACAGAGTATGTATATATATATATATATAGGGGGAGAGAGATAACATGTACGTATAAGTGTATACTACATATGTATATACACGTGTATACACATAGCATATACATGCACACACCCACACACACACACACATATATATATATATATATATACACGCACAAACATATGCATATGCATACCAAACATCAATACGCATATAGAACTATGCAACTATACATATATACGAATGTACGTGTGTGCATTGATGCATGAATACATGTGCACATAGATGTACATACACCTGCATATATGCAAACATAATATGTATATGTGTGCGAGTGCATTGGTGCGTGTGTGTGTGTGTACAAGGTATATATGTATGTTCACGTCTAAATCCGTACATATGCACCAAATGTTCAGCCAGCTCCTGTAGTGGCCAATGATCTCCTCGTCTCCGCCCTTCTGGATGCGTCTCTGCAGGGCTCTCAACTGCCTCTCCAGCTGAAGGTCCTCCTGTTTGCCAATAGCCAAGGTTCTCGGCGAATTCAGAATGAGGAAATGAGCCTGAGGACTTCTAGATCACCAGTTCTAAGGGAATGAGCCAGGGAATGACCCCCGTTCTAAACCACCACTGGTGATTTCCTGTAAGGACTTCCTGCATTCATTGCCAAACCGTTGATTCCCTACTGGCAACCAGCAAGCCTACCATGCACCAACCCAGGGCCACTATCTGGATAAGCCTCTCAACCCTTCTCTTGGGAAAATGGAGAACCTGCAAAGCTTGTCATACTTCCAAAGCACTTCCAAAACCTCAAATAGAGCATTCCCAATCGGTTCCCTTTACCCCGAAATCGACACTCGAAGCCCAGGACATTCGCATTCCCTTTAACCGGAGCCGAATCCCTGGCAACAGTTCCCTACACTGAAGCCTCACCTTTTGGGCCGAAGAGATGCTTGAAACCGGCCAAAAATGGAAAACCACCAAGGGACAGAAATCGGGACCCAAATCGGATTTGTTAAGCCCAAGCCTCCTCTGGGATCATCTTCTCCGCGACCCGGCAGTCATAGTCATCCTGGGTCGCATGTGCCCAGGGATTGGCCGCTTTGGGGAAATCAGCACTTTCATAGAGACCATCTTCCCGCCGTTTCTCGGGTTCCATGTTGGGAAGGGCATGCAGGGTGTCTGGATGACTGGGAGTTTGATCCTAGTACAAAATGCGATCACAGTTGGTCGCCGACACATTTTCTGCACACATTTGGTCAGGGGGGGGTTCGGCATTGCCTGGGTGGGCCGAGGGCAACCCTCCGACCCACTTGTCAGATTACAGCGCAGCCGTCCAATTGGTTTTATCTTCAAAAATCCGTGGTTCACAAACTGAAAATAGATGAGGAATTCCAAAGCCATTCATCGACCAAAGAACAAAGACCCCATACCCTCGTGTTTGTACGTTTCAAACAAATGGGGAACCCCGCTTATAGAAGTGCTCCTCATTCAACAGAAACTAAAGAAGGCAAAAAGCGGCCGGGTATGTACTGTGTCCTTTTCCAATCATAGCAATTTATGGCCAAAGGATGATCGGCTTAACCGCCGTATTTGTGGGTTGGCAACCCTATTTTCACCCAAACAAAACAGAACGACAATCCGAAAGTCATGACGTTCTGAGAGGATACATTGATACATGTCATCCTGCCATGAAGGGTCTTCTCCCAAGGGCCTCCCGCATGTTCCCTTTGTCTAAATCATCACAGAATATCACAGAAAGACCGAAAGGCCAACAAGCAAAAATCATCACAGAAAGATCCACAAATGATCCACAACATTTCGACTTTGAACCACCCCCCTCCTTGTCTGGGTCGTACGCTGCCCTCGCCCTAGATCGGCTTCGGCCCTCCAAGCCGATCGCCATCCCGGGAGTGCGTGCGCGCAGGGCCATTGCCAAATGGCCACCAACCCTTGAGCCGGATCGTGGATGATCGTGGCACGTGCGGATAACAAATGTCTCTCTCTCGCTCTCTCTCTCTCTCTTTGTCAGGTTTGCCGCCAATTCAGCGACTTATTCAGCGACGGTAAATGAAGAATAGGAACCCCAAGAGGTGACGTGAGTTGAGCTTCTGGAACAAACAACAAGGACACGAGCGCGATTGGGCCTTCTTGCAGCGCCTTAATGTGCCGAACCCCCTCTTTTCGGTGAAGCGGACACTGGCTGCGTGGAGTGGATGAAAGAGGATAAGCAACATGACTTGCAAGAAACAAAATAGAAAAAAAAGGGCCTTTAACCAGCCGCCATGGCTCCAAAGTCATGAAACATGGCGGCCGGCAACCCATGCATCCAAAACGCTGTCTTGTTCAAGGCCTTCTTCGCAAGCTCAGGGTCCTGAAGTGGGCGCGGGGGGAGAGATCTATCAATTGCTTTATCGAGTTTCTGACCACACTGCAGTCTTTTCATGCCAGAGATAAACTTCTGAGCTTTGCGTCCTGGCGTCACAGCTAAAACGTGTTGTCTTGGCCAGGCCAGCGAGCGAAGAAACCAAAGAGGCATGCATGCCACCTCACCCTCAGGGTGGGCGGGCAGGGTACACTTGAGCATCATCATGATGCGGCATTTCAATTGGCTCTAAGGTCAAACCAGTTCAAGAACGATAATGACCACACTGCAGTCTTTTCATGCCAGAGATAAACTTCTGAGCTTTGCGTCCTGGCGTCACAGCTAAAACGTGTTGTCTTGGCCAGGCCAGCGAGCGAAGAAACCAAAGAGGCATGCATGCCACCTCCATTCCAGTCATACGCTCGAATGACGCACCAATTTAGCGTGTGCTCTCTGGTTGAAGCCGCCTCTGAAAACGCTCAGCGGTGCGACTCACTTCCGCGTTGAGGAAGCACTGCGCCAAAAGCGTGCAGAGTCTATGTGGGTACGGTTCGGCAATTTTGGTCCACCATTGCCCAGCCTCGTTCTGCCCTGCCAGCATAAAGTGACGCTTTCCAGAGCGTGTGCAGCACCCACGTCGGGCCCCAATACAGCGGTAATGCGAGAGGGGGTCCAAACCAAAGTGAACACTGACAAACCTTGTACTTTTGCGCCACATAGCGCCGAACATGCAGAATTCCACTTGCTGTTGATGCACTTGTTTCTTGCGAAGCAATCGCGCAACTGCTGGGCACAACCATAGTCTTGACGAGGTAGGGTTTTCCATGCTGAAGAAAATCTGCAAGGCGAGGGCCAGGTTGAGAACAGTGACAGAGAACAACATGAACATGTTCCCCTCGTTGACTTTGACACGATCATCAGGTGACAAATCGGGCAGCCCAAGCGGGCAAGTGCTGCTTCTCAAGGGCGGGGGCCCTGGGGGACGGTCACGTGCTTGGGTGAAAGTGTGACACGGTGTTCCCAAATGGCCCCCCCGTATGCGTCCAGATCTCATCCAACCCGCAATTTTGTGTCTGTTGTGAACACACCGCAGATCATACTCTGGGCCAAGATTGATGTCCCACAACAAACAAGGCCAGCCGTTTTCCTTTGCTACAGCACGGCTGAGATTGCCAGATCCACTGAAAATCTCAATGAACACGGCGGGCGCGAGGCTAGCCGGAACATTCATCGCAGGTTGGCAAGGAGTTGTGGCAAACGGTCGCACGCGCTGATTGCTTTTTGCTGTACTTTGGCCGGCAAGCTTGCAAACAACTGCGCTAGCCTTCCGCCTTTCTGGTACCTCCGTACGCTTTCCTGTGTCTTCCACCTGCCCCGGGCTTGCACTGCTTTCAAGTCCCGGAAGCCCATGTTGAAATCGTGGGACGCGCCCCCGTGCCTGAAGCGGTACGGGTGGACGGGGCCCAAGTTGCGCAGGTCCAGCTTTTCGGCGGCCTCGGCCAGGAAGGCGACCACATTCTTGTTTTCGTGATTGAAAATCACGTCGCCGGGCTGCCGACCTCGCAGTTGAGCCTGGCGTTTGACTGCTTCCCCAATGCCCTGGTGGTAATCTAAGTCGAACTGCAGGGTCTCGTCGAACTCCATGGTCTTGGACGGGCGAGCAGCCTCCAGCGGGTGAAGTGTGACTGTCCACCGCTGGTAGCCAGCACGTGCCCGCTTCAGCGGCGCCACCAAATCCATCTGCCGGATTCGCAAAGCTTCCGAAGGCCGCAAGTAGAGCGTAAACATTAAGAGGATGTGGAGCCCAATCATCACATGGTTGGACTTCATGGCATACTCGACCAGTAGGCAGGTGACTTCCCAGGGAACGGGCAGCCGGCTCCTTGGAGGACTGAGCTTCCCCCACCCTCGCAAGCTCTGCTTGATTTTGGGCAACGAAACCATGCCAGGCGTCCGCAAACTGGGACGGAAGAAACACAGGGCTGCCACCACATACTGGGCCGAGCTGACGTCTTCCCCATTGTGGTACATTTCCTCGAGGTAAGTGGCCAACACCTTGTCCACCACCTTCGCTGGCTTGAGGCCCCCACTGCGGTTGGTCACCAACTGCGAGATCTGCTCCCACCAGAACTGATACCTTTGGAAGCACTTCTTGGAGACGGAGGACTCTTGGAGAACGGTCATCTCGGAGCTTGCGGCCTTGTGCTTTTTCCGGGCTGTCACCCGCATTTCCTTCCTTGCCGGACGGCTCAATTCGGCCGTTTCCATGGACCAGCTGGCTTTGAGTGATGGTGCTGGGGTGGGTAGTGAGGCCGTGCGGACAGCTTGTGTTGAAGCCTTCCTCCGCGCCGGCTTCTCCCATGTGACCCCCCCTGGCACCACAATGCCCTGGTGGATCATTGAGCTGCTGCGGCACGCTTGGCACCCAACCTCCCCTTGATGGTGAATCAGCGGGGTTCCACTCACTTGGGATCCATCTCAAGTGTATCTCGGAGTTGGTGACAAGCGAATGCGCGGCAATCTGCTGAATCACTCTTCTCAACTGAAAACCATGCGACCTTCCCCTTGAAACTGCACATGCAACTGTCATGCTGTCCGTGAGGATGAGGTGCTTCTTTCCAAAGGCGCTCATGTTTCGTAAAGCATGCTTCACCCCAAACAGAACTGCTCGCGCCTCGGCAACTGGCATAGAGAGCTCCCGCTGCCAGCGGTGGCGGCCAATTGTCTGCCATTGCTGGTTGACAACCTCAAACGGCACACTTGCAAAATCACCAACCCGGTCATGCGGGGCGTCCCGATCATCTTGTTTGATGCAGGACGGCACGTCACAAAAAGGCAGCTCAAACTCAGCCATGGTGCGCTGCCTAGGGTTTGCTGTCAATGGGTCCTTGAAACGCCACCTCTCGCAAAACTTTCCAATGGACTTCGCCTGCTCATATGGAATATCCGACTGCGTGGCTCCCAGCCCCCATTCTGAGGCATCGGTCGCCAGAAGCTTTGTCGACCAGGCTGCTTTTAGGTCCCGCCTGATGAGCGGAAGAATGCCATCCCAGTTTGAAAGCTCTTGCCGAACGTGCTTGCCGAGGGGGTGCTCAAGGGAATTGTGCTCGTGAGTCTTTATGAAGTCATAGATGTGCCCAAAGCAAGAAAGCGACTCCCTTCTCCCCATGCTAATGAAACCGCAATGTCCAATGAGCTTCTGCATCTCCTTTGATGTGGCATGTCCCCGTTTCAGAACTTCACGCAAAGCCAGTCTCACCCGCCAGCACCTTTTCCTCGTGGGCCGAAACTCGCCATTCGCAGTAAAATGCCATCCTAAAACTTGGGCGCCGTCGGAGCTGCTTTCAACTTCGTGAACCTGGAGACCAGCGCGGGTCAGCTCCTTAACTGCGCGCTCAAAAGCGCCCTTCACCATCTCCCGGTCAGTCCCGAGCACCACCAGGTTATCGACATATTGTAAATGGCAGCACGAAGTTGAGGACACTGGGTGACGATCCCTAAGCCTCACATCGGAGCCAAGACCACTCCGCTCGACAACCCGTTGGTGTAGCTGCTGACAAACATAAAGTGCCCAAGACCATCCCATCGGGACGACAGCCAGCCTCGGCGTCAGCAGCGTGCCCGGCCTCACCGGTCTCCCGTTCACCTCCAGCAAACCCAGATCCTTGGCCATGACGGGCCGCAGAGCAAAGTATTTACGTAGCTGGCGGGGAAGAGACAGGTGGTAAAAGGCGTCCTTGAGATCGGCCGTGCAGATGGTGAGCCCTTCTTCGGCATCAGGATCCAACTCAATCCGACCAAGGCAATCAGCCGTGGCTAAGGAAACGTAGCTGGGGTTCCTGAAATGAGCATTTGAACGGCGGGCATCAATCACCATACGCTGCCGTCCCATCTTCTTGGAAACGAAGAAGCACTCAACCTGCTCTACTCCTGGTGACGTGTCTACGTCGATCAAATTGGAACGCCACAGCCGCTTGATGAAGTCGATGTAGTTGTGTTTCACCCTCAACAGCGGGTCAGAGTATGCTCTTGACACCCCGGCCTGCCTCAGGCGAGCCTCCACTTGATCTGGCGGCAAAAGCTGGTTGTGTACAAGGTCGTACACGAAATCACACCCGTCTCCGCCCCACAATTGGCCAAGCTCAATGGGAGACCAACCTTCATCAGGAAGCGAGACAGATTCGGGCTTGTACGACACCAAAGACCCTACTGGTTGGCTCTCAGCATAGTCTTCAGTTGTCCGGAGCATTGACCAAGCTCCTGGACCCGTCAAATCGGCAGGGGGCCGACCCAACTCATGCACTGATTGGATGATGAATTCAATGGCCTTTGCCTGAGCAGACCCATGACCCTGCAGCGCCTCCTCCAAGGGAAAGTCGCCCTTGCCGGAGACGTTAGCACCAAACATTGAATTCAAAGCTCGGACGGTATAGTTGGCCTCCACCTGTATGTGCCGCGCGCACTGGACCCGGCGGACGCAGGAGCGTGACATGCCGCGCCGAGGGTCCTGGTCACAAAGAACTGCAGGTAGAGGAAAAAGGTCCCGTGGCTTCCGAACTGTAGGCCCATGCAAAAGCGAAGAGGCTGGCCCAATTCCTCTTTGCTGCCCCGGCTCAGGGGGCGTCCCCATCTCCCTTCTTCTTCCCGGGACCCTGACCTTTTCGTGCCAGGTCTCGCTCTTCTCGCGCTTTCCTCAAGTTCTTGGCCAAGGAAGCATCACGTTCAACCTCAATTTTCACATGCTCCAGGAGCTGGGGGCAAACCATCAGTGTTGATGCCATCCTTGTCACACCACCAAAGACTTGTTGCTCTTCCAAAGATAGTCGACCACCAACCGCCTTGCTTTCTAGGTCTTTGATCTTCTCGCTGTAGCTGAACTCAATGGTCTGCATGCGTCGGAACACAATCTCCAAGAACATGTTGTTATAAGGGTTCAACTGGTCAGTGAGAAGGGCATGCTTTACCACGTTGGTCAACTGATAGTGCTCTTGCATCCCCCAAGATCCACTGTCAGCTTTTGCCAAGGTGCGGAAACGTTCGTGGTGACCCTCCAGACCCAAACCCTCGGTGATGAGATAGGCAATGCACCATTTGGCCGTACGTGGTCCCATCAGCGACCACTGCATAGCGGTCTCGGAGCTGCGCGAAGCAACTTCCTTCAGTGAACACTCAGCTTTCCCCAGCCCGTTCAGCTCGATGGCGATAATGCGATTGTCGCACAAGGCAGGTTTCTTCATGTGGTCAGCCAAGCGGTTGCCCTGGATGCATTCAACAAACAGCGAGGTACCATCGGCACTCACATGGACTGCCTTTGCTCCGAGCACTGCTGCCACTCCAACACCGTTGACAACCTCGCCGTACCGGAAACCGCCCGCACATTCCGCTGCCACCCAATAGAGCTGATCCGCGATTAGGGCCGCATCTGCATCCACCGCTGCCACGGCGCCTGCGACCGGGAGTGCCGGAGGGGCAGCTGCCGCGGCGCCAGCAACCGGGGCGCCAGCGGCAGCAACTCCACGCGCTGCCCGCTCTGTCTGGGCCGCAGCAACAGCCTCCGCGCGAAAACCGGCCATCTCCGCAGCCGTGAAGGCCGGCAGGGCGTAGACCTGGTGCACCCGAATGCCGGCGGGCAACACACCAGGGCTTGGGCGGGCGCGAAGCCCACGCAGGTCATCATTTACCACCGAAAGCTCTTCCACATATACATCCTTGTCGGGGGTAACTATGGCATAAAACTCACCATAAGCGTGTTCAAGAACAAGTCGCTCATGCCAGAGGATTGGTCCGGGAACATCATATTGTAGGAGCATATGCCGGTGAATCAATGCCATGACGACGCAAACGGATCTCAGCCAATTGCTGATGTGCCAAAACCCGTTGCCGCGTTGCAGAGACAGGTGAAATATCAGCTGGAGCGAATGCGAATTCACTCTGATGATTCCCTCGTCTTCCCGCAAGCCACCGACCAGCCAAACAGGCCAACAAGGCCACCACCCACCAGGTACAAAGCGCAAATGCGAGGTAAAAAGACCAGGGTGCCCAAACTGATTGAAATCGCTCTGAGAGGAGGCCACCACCTGCTGCGGATGGTCCACTCCCACCGGGTGGCTCTTCGGGCCCCCGATGGCAGTGCTTGGCGGCCACCTGCGCCGCAGTGAATGCTAGCTCCTGCAGCTGCTGTTCTGGTGGGGCTCGATCCTGGAGATGTCCACCAGCAAGAAAGCCCACCAAGGTGACCAGCAGATGTGAGCTCAAAGAACCCCAAATGCCAGCTCCGGGATGGCCCATTGCACGATGAGGGGACCCTTTACACTTGAGCATCATCATGATGCGGCATTTCAATTGGCTCTAAGGTCAAACCAGTTCAAGAACGATAATGACGCACGCACCACGATCGGACTGCAAGCAAAAGAACTTGGATGCGCAGCAAGCGCTGGAAGGGCCAGCTCAAAGGATTGAGCCTGTCAATTTAGAGGGGAACTGTCCGTTTTCAGTGGACCAAATGGCAAAAGGACAAACGACCCTGAACTAAAATGGGCCGTGTGGAGGCTAGGTGCCCTTTGCTGGGATTGTCCTTTCCGGGTGGCAAAAACCTTTTTTCTGGTGTTCTTCTCCTTGAGAGGGGGCGTCCCTCAACAGCCAAACCCAAAGGACTGCCAGGTGCCCAAGGGGCAACTGCGCTTGCGTGGATTGGTTTGGGTTGGTGTTCCTTGGTGTTCCGGTTTCCCATGTCTCAAGAAGGGCTTCAAATCCCGAATCCAATCCCTGACAATGATCGGCCCATAGGATTCTTGGGGATGCATGCTCTGCGTCTAAAACATCGAACGGAAGTGGACCATATCGGGTTTCAGAAGAATTTATTGACTTCCATTGGAAAACGGGTACCTGCATGAGATTTGCTTGTGTCTCAGCGTTTGGCCATAACCCTCCCGTCCGTTCCATGATTGAAAGCCTGCAGCGTTGCTCCAATCACTCCCGCTGCGGGGCAATTGGGGAAGTGTTCCCAAACCTTGTGGCTGCTTACTGTGGATGGTCAAAACCCACTTCGTACAAGTTGGTATGGATAAAACCCTGCTAATACTTGTTGGCAAACCACCTACTGGCTGGTGCAAGCTGGTTTCTGCCCATCCACAGTAGCGTTCCCCTAACCACCCCACCTGACGCATCCATTTCCAGAAACGAGGGTCCCGCTAGAGTACCCAGAAAAAAAATATTCAGATTGGTGACCATGTAAGTGTGCGTGTTTGTGTGTGTGTGTGTGGGTGTGCGTGTGCGTTTGCGTGTGCGTGTGCGCGTGCGCGTGCGCGTGCGTGCGTGTGCGTGCGTGTGCGTGCGTGTGCGCGCGCGCGGGCGTGCGTGCGTGCGCGCGGGCGTGCGTGCGTGCGTGCGTGCGTGGGTGGGTGGGTGGGTGGGTAGGTGTGTGTGTGTGTGTGTGGGTGTGTGTGTGTGCTTCTGTGTGTGTGTGCGTGCATGCGTGCGTGCGTGCGTGCGTGCGTGTGTGTGTGTGTGTGTGTGTGTGTGTGGGTGTGCGTGTGCGTGTGCGTGTGCGTGTGCGTGTGCGTGTGCGTGTGCGTGTGCGTGTGCGTGTGCGTGTGCGCGTGCGTGCGTGCGTGTGTGGGTGTGCGCGTGTGTGTGCGCGTGTGTGCGCGCGTGCACGCGCGTGCGCGCGCGCGTGTGCGCGCGTGTGTGCGCGCGTGTGCGCGTGTGCGCGTGCGCGCGTGTGCGTGTGGGCGTGCGCGTGTGCGTGTGCGTGTGGGTGTGTGCGTGTGTGGGTGTGTGGGTGTGTGAGTGTGGGGGTGTGTGCGTGTGTGCGTGCGTGCGTGTGCGTGCGTGCGTGCGTGAGTGCGTGCGTGGGTGGGTGGGTGGGTGCTTGCGTGCGTGCGTGCGTGCGTGGGTGTGGGTGTGTGTGTGTGTGGGTGTGTCTGTGTGGGTGTGTGTGTGAGTGTGTGTGTGTGTTTCTGTGTGTGTCTGTGTGTGTGTGTCTGTGTGTCTGTGTGTTTGTGTGTGTGCACGCGTGTGTGTGTGTGTGTGTGTGGTGTGTGGTGTGGGTGTGGGTGTGGGTGTGTGTGTGTGTATGTGTATGTGTATGTGTGTGCGCGCGTGTGTGTGCGCGCGAGTGTGTGTGTGTGTGTGGGTGTGCGCGTGCGCGGGCGCGGGCGCGGGCGCGGGCGCGGGCGCGTGCGCGTGCGCGTGCGCGTGCGCGTGCGCGTGTGCGTGCGTGCGTGCGTGCGTGCGCGTGCGCGTGTGTGTGCGCGTGCGTGCGCGTGGGTGTGCGCGTGCGTGCGCGTGCGCGTGGCGCGTGCGCGTGGGGGCGTGGGCGCGTGGGCGCGTGAGCGAGTGGGCGTGTGGGCACGTGGGCGTGGGGGCGTGTGTGTGTGTGCCATGTGAATCAAGGGAGTAACCAATTGGTGGACCCCCTCGTGGTTGGGAGGCCAAACATTCATGTCTTTGCCCAAATCTGGTGTGCATAGAACAGAATATGGCCAAATGCTGTTCCGTATTTGCGTGTCTCGTTTTAGGAGACCCCCGCCCCCTCAAAAAAAAGAAGTTGTTCATATTGGTTTCCACCAAAACACGGGTGCCCATTTTGTCTACAGCATGTAAAACATAGACTTTCCGGAGACCCCACTAATTACCGCGGATGGCTGCGAATCCATTTCGCACCACTTTGAAGCCATGGGAATGAAACCATACCAATTGTTGGCATTGTCGTGGGGAAATCGACTCCTAAACCGTTGCGAAACGCATGGAAACCACGGATTCATGCACAAAAATATATGGGGCCAAAGCCGGAGCTGTCGGCCGAGGGATCCTTGGCGAGCTTTTCAAGCATCTCCTCGCTGGGCGGCTCTTTGGGGATCAGCGCTGCGTCCGTGCCCTGGGCTCTGATGGGCTCGGTTTGGACGTCGGTTTTGAGGGGTCCGGGTCCCGGAGCCGAGGCTGAAGAATGACACTTCCTCAATTGAATTTGGAATTAGCAAAGTGTCAAATTGCGGGGTCCTTTTTCAACATTTTCCAACAACCCATCTTGCTTTGGGTTTCTCTTGAACGGAAACCTACCCCGTGCATCAATATGGGGGGTGGTCCCCTCCAAAGATGGTCTGAATCCCCACACCCAGGAACACCCTATAATAAACTGGAGGTTTAGCTTCATTCGGGGGCAACATTTTTTCGCACCCAGCAAGATCTCAATCGGCTTCAAGCTGCGAAGACCAAGTCCGCAAGCTCTTTGCCGCCGTTCCTTGGGTGAGATACGGTCCAGTTGGAGCGGGCAATGATGGGGAGAGAGGAAGGGGCCCCGTTGGCAGTGGATACAAAAACCAGTAGATCCCAGTCACCACTACAAAGCCATGGTCCTCTTGGTTGTTGAAGGGTGGTTCCCTTGGTTCTCCACTATTCAGGTAAATGGATCCACTGCGAAATGCAACTCAACTTGGCAAAGGAGAAAACCCAAAGGGAAACCACGAGGGTCCAATCCCGATTTTGGTGCGCATTTGAAGGAAGGAAGTCAAGAACCACGCTTCCAAGTCAACGGCATCAACCAAGCAGATTCCTTTCCAGCCATTTGTTCAAAGGCACGCGTCCAAAAAGGAAATCTAAGGAGCAGCGCGATTGAGGGCAAAGACCAAGGGCCTATGTTGAGTGAACATGCGAGTTGACGATTTGTGGGGAAGCCATCAAACAGAAGGGACAAAGGGTGCCACTGAACACCTGGGTTAAAGCATGGAATCAACTTGGAACACGACGACACCCAGAGATTCCAAACATGCAAATCTTCAGCATGTTATTTCAGACTTTGGCTGCTGATTCCCCAATCCATTTAGCAGTGGCCTGACGTTTGGCTCTTCACCCCTTCGCCGCATCGGCCGGCGCACGCCAAGTGTCAGCTTGCCCACGGCAGCCTCGGTGCGGCTCCACAGTGGTGAGAGGCACTCGTTTGCTGAGGCGCCAAGTGCAGTCACCCATCCCCCAGCGCGGAGAAATTTGCAAGCGTGTCAATCCCCTCAAATCTCTTTGCTCCTTGATTGAACTAGATTTGATTGACAGGCTGACAGGCCTTGACAAAATCTCTGGACACAAATACGTCCTTCTCTACCTACCATTGTCACCACGTAAACCTCCCAGCCTCCCTCAACTCACGAATAGTGCAACCCCGACCAAATTTGTTCTTTGTTCATCATTTTAGTCAAGGGATGCTAGCCCAAACATTGACACAGTGAACCCAAGCACTTCTCTAACCTTCCGAAACGTCTCGGGTTTTGCATCGGTTTCCGAGCCGCCGAGATCATGTCGCCCTCCTCCCGCAGGATTTGCTTCAGCTCGTCAGGATTCAAATCCTAGCACTCCGTGCACGCGCGGACCCCACACGCTTTCTGCGAGATGCTTTAGCTCAAAAGCCCAAGGCGAGCAAACATTGATCTAAGTTGTTGACCCCCCCCCCCAAAAAAAAAAAGAAGAAACACCCGTCAAATATACTTGACCCCATTTAGCCTTGAGGCCCATTAAGCCTTGAGGCCCATTAAGCCTTGAGGCCCATTAAGCCTTGAGGCTGGAAATAGCTTCGAACTGACAAAAGTCTGTAAACAAACATCGCCCTGTCCGGCCGGCGTTGCCCCTTCAGCGTCCTTGTGGAGGATGGGCGCGGCATGCTCCGGCTCGGGCGTTGCGACCTGAGCACATCGACAACCTACTGAGCACCATGAAATCCTCACCTTAACCTTAATGGGTGGCTTGGATTGATGGCTTGGGTCTTTGAACCCCTGCTTCTTGTAGAGGGCAACTAGGAAACCACACAAATCCAAAACAGTTAAGGGGTACCTGAAACTGCTCAAGTCTATTTAAAAAAAAAAGAAAAAAAAAGAAAACGCAACCCACACCAAGCCAGAGCAAGCCTGAAGTCCCAATCACTTCTTCGATCCAAACTTCCACCATGCCGAAGTGGGCGCTAGACGGCCTGCGAATGCGTGTCCACCAAATGACAGGGCAATGGCTTCCTTCAAAAATCACCCCACAGGTCCGGGAAAACCATCAAGTTACTTTCTCTCAGCTGGAATCATCTGGCCTCAGAGCTTGGGATGGCACATGTGGTTGCCTCGTACATTTGGAATCCCAGTTTCTTGTCCGATTCCTCCCCATACAAACGACATTTTCCAGGCGAAAACGCCAGGTTTCAGTTTGGCCTTCCAAACCTGAAGGGCCTCGAAAAAGCACATGCCTCCCTCCCCCGCCCCCTCCGCAAGGCCAAAGCGGCAATGGGCAGCGTCCGGTCCGTGGGCATTTCATGCTCGTCCGGGATCTCGATGGGCACCTGGCTTTCCAAATTGAGGAGTGTGTGTGTTCTTGATTTTTCTATATTTTTCTGGTTTTCTCAAGAAGTTTCATCTGCATTTGTTAGATCAAGTGCAACAAACATGGCTGACTCATGGGAAGACTGGAAGCCCCAAAAAAGCGCAACAAGCGCACTACCCGAGTTGCCTGTTCTATTTTGTTTGAGGGGACCCCTTTTTGTGGATTTAAAGGGCAACCAAACGGAAACCCACCCATTCTTGGGGTCCCTTAAACAAGACGCACCCACATCTTGCTCCCCTCTTGGCTTAAGCTCCAGGCTTCTGTGCAGGCTCCGAAAATCCGATGGTTTTCAAGTTGCGCTCCATCTATTTGGGGCGTGGCCCAAAAATAGGGGCCCCAAATGGAACCCTGGCAAATGGAACCAAGGACTAACGCCTGCGGTGCCCTGGTGGCTTAACTTTGAACACCCATGGGTGGCTCCCTATGAGACAATCGACACTTCCATACCCCCTTGCGGGGTCTTTGCAAGAGGGTGGTATTCAAAACCCGACATGGTCCACTTCCACGACTGTTGGGAAAAGTGTGGGTGTGTGTAGTGCTGGTTGTTGATTTGGTGGTTGGTCTGTTCTTCACATTCATGTGAGTTGCGATTGGCGTGGATATGTTCGTTTGGTTTGAAGTGCTTAGCTGATCCCTTGCAACGGTCATGCCCCCAAAAGCGGGCCCAACGAGGGCCTTGCTTCTCAAAATGAACGTACCCCCACCTATAACCAATATGCCGTATATAGCGATTTGCTCGCTGGGGTATGTATCTGAATGGCCCGTGTATAGCGCAGGTATACGGTATACCCACTGGTTTTAAGAACCAAGCTCTTTCTCGGAAATCCACTCATTTAAGTTAACTCTGACTCCACCAATCAGCCCACCTCCATCGGAGGTGGCAGCGTCTCGTTGTGATGCATGGGCTCCTGCGGAGCGATGGGGATGACCTCGTCGCCCTGGGCGCGGACGCGGAAGGCAGAATGGAAGCGTCATCTTTCCGCTTCTTTCTTGGTGCCTAAACATGAATATGCATGCAATGTCCGAGCGAGCCATACCACCAGCCGAAATTGAGGGGTCCCGAAAAATTGAGGTGCTCGTCGTGTCTGTCTGTCAAGAGCACCCTGTCCAGCACATCGTCGCGCTAAATCCCACTTCTTCAGAATGCTGATGTGGGCTGAGGCAATCTAAGGTTCCTGAATATCCTGTGTTCCAAAAATAGCTGCCGAAGCTACCAGTAGTCTCTATGCTCAGGCTCTCCCCGGTCCACAGCCTTCTCCCCTTCTCCCCCTTTTTTCCACCCAAATACCACAGCTCCCTGCGCCAAACAACGCTCGAGTCTGTTACAGATGAGCTCTTCCCAGCCTCGGGCAAACTTTGATGCAAATGGTTGGTGGGGCCCGTCTTCCTGCATCTATTGCATCTCCACTTGGAACCCAATCTTACAAGGGAATGGCTCGGATGCACCAAAGGAAAGCCGTCTTATCCAGTCAGCACCGCAGCTACCCTCCCACCCTTTTCACATGGAACCTGACGGTTTGGGTCCTGGTTTAGACCATTTTCCTCTTAAAGGGACCTGTCAGGTTCCATGTGAAGAGAGTAACACCCACCCTCCAGCCCCCTAGCAACGGGATCGCCAGAAGCCGCCCGCGCCGGCGCTGCCCGCGCCTCGATGATCTCCAAGTCAGGGTCCACAGAGCCGTTCCAGGGCAGGTGCCACCCGCTTTTCGGCGGCACCGAGCCCTGCAGTGTGCGCGATTCGGCTCAGAAAGGCCAAGAAGGGGATTGCCAACCATAGATGGATATGATTGAAACAGGAACAAACACCTCCCAAGATAGTTGCCAACCACCGGGCATGATCTCAAAAAGGCAACCAAGAACCCCAAAAGTTGTCACCACCCGGAATTCGGGAAGCAGGCACCAGATCGACACCACACCCATAGTTTGCCGCACCAAGCCAATGATTTGCCCAGAAAATTACGCCCAAATCCCCAGCATCCGGCAGCCTCACCAGCGTGGAAGGCCAAGTTCTCCGTGGAGGCGAAATCCGCGGAGTCTGTGCCGAACCACCAGCCGTCCATGCCCTTGTGCTCCCCGTCGTGGTGGTAGTAAATCAGGACCTCCGAAATGCGGAGCTGCCAGGTTTGCCTGTACATCTTGGCCGCGTCGAAACGCCTTGTTCTATCAAGTTTTGTCGCCTGTCTCACGCTTTGCCGCCGGCACTCCTCCGCAGCATTTCTGCTGTTTGTTGATTGGCCAGAATAGGGACATGCTGCAGGCAGAACTTGTCAAGCTGCCTTCCACTTAAAGAGTCAAAAGGGCCAGGGCTACACATCAGGGGTGGAAGCCAGCATCTCCCTAGAAGCGGCCCGGATGGGGAAGAACATTCCATGAAGCACAGGCGCAGGATGGCGCCCCTCCCGCCCGGCTGGGTCTGCATGTCATGTTCTGCCTGTCTTTTGGTCCAAGCACAGGGTGAATGCTGCATACCAAGTGACAGGCAGGTTTAAGGGGGTTGGGGGGGGGGGGAACGGGGGGACGGGACTGGGGGTTGTTGTATTGCCCAACTTGATCTGCCTAGTCAGAATCCAGCAGAGCAAAACGTTCGTTGCTGGATGCTGTAAAATGCAAACACCATCTCTTTTGGCTTTTTGTTGGCGCTTGGCAGAGCAAACGACGACGCTAGGGCAGGGGTGTGTGAAGCTGCTAAGTTCAAATCCAAACTCACTCTGTTTGACTAACCCCGACCGACAAATTTGTGTGTAAGGTCGGGTGGGCGGCTGGCAACGTTCGGCAACCGAGTCCCAAAAACCCGAGGCCTCCTCGCCATCGACACCGGCCCTGGCCGTCAGGGCGGATGGAAAATCCGAGCGTCGAAAATCCTTGCGCACTTGTTGTCGGCTGGCGTGGTTGGGTGGGACCCGAGCCCGGCTGTTGCTTTGTGACGGGCCGTGCGCATTCACGGCGTTTGCGGCAGTCCCAAACCCACTCTTGCAGGAACCAAGAAACTAGCTGCGGCTGTTGCTGGGGATCACCCCGAGATGAACCATGCCCTGTGATTTGGCCCAGGTTCATTCTCCAAGTTTCAGCGTGTTCGGATTTCGGGGTTTGGTTCTTGGGGGCTATGAGATACCTCCCATGAAGGCGCCATGAATGAGACATGAATGCTCATGGCACAGCGCCAAGCACCCTTGTGGATCAATTGGAGCTTTCTGGAATGTTACACTTGGATGTGCACAGCTTGGGCCCAGCTCAGCTTACAGCTTAGGGCCGGCAAACCGCCGCCATTGAGAAACGTCAGAGGCACATCATGTTCTCATGGCAAAACTGAACATGGACCAAAACTGGTACTCAGCACATAGGACCCCGGCCCCCCTTCTGGCAAAACTACACCGGCGAACACAAGCGATCGGTAATCTGCCGCCGGGCTGGCTTATGATACATGGGCCGGCCCAGGTAAAAGCCAGCTGGCAAGTAGGTCCTCAGGCCCAGAATGCGGCAAAAGGTTCAGAAACTGCAGGAAAACTGCACGGGCTTTGGTTTCAACTGGGAGCCAAGATGTTGGACAACCCCACCCCAGGATCCTCTCCAGTCTCATGAATCATTCAGCCTGTTCTCGTTCAACATGATGCTACATGCAAATACTTGCATGAAGGACTCTTGCCTGGTCTTGGAAGGGATTTCAAAGCACCTTATTGGGGTACATCCTACGCATGCCTGGGTCAGAAGACCACCTTGAGGACCACAGAGTGCCAAGCCAGCGGCCCAAATGCTTTGGTGCCTGTCGAGAAATCGACTGGTCACTTGAGAGACCGCCTTCAGCAGATACCCAAATGAGCAATGGCACCGTCCCTAACCATACCACAGCTGTGGGTTGTATGCCCCAGAGCCTGGCATAGCCCATGCCAAGGGACCCGGTGAGCTTGCTGCAAGCAGATTGGGCACAGCCTCGGAACCCGTTGCGTTCAATTCGGCACCGATTGGCTGAGGCGGACGCCGGCCGCACACGCAGACCAAGAAACAAGCAAAAAAAAGAGTGGCATGCCAGCATTGTCGGATTCTTCGTGTGCGGCGGTGAGACCTTCAACCTTCTACCAGACTTGAGGGTCAAAACGAAACTGTGAGGGTTCTTCAAGATCAAGACCAGCAGACTAGTTTTCGCTGGACGACACACGGACGCTTGACTTGACGCTAACTGCGGCGATGCTGCCCCCAACCACCAGCGGTTTTGCTGTCTTGTCCGGCCACTCGGAGATGTTGTGGGCAGCCTGGGTGGCTGGTCGCTGTGCTCTGGGCAAGGGAAGCCTTCTTATTCCAGCATGATGACCCACGCCAATCACACAGGCAACCCCAGCTCCGAACCGCTCCAGAAAACTGCTCATACTCACGGTGGTGATGATACAGTACTGGAGCTCTGGTCAAGTGGACAAGGGCAAGACTTCACCGGAAAGTTGGCTTCCAGGATTCGGAACCCGAGTGACAATGCAAGCGGGGCGAACAATTAAACGGGAACCAGAAGGGCAGAAGGGGGGGGGCCAGCAGCCAGGGCTGGGCCACCCCCTTTTAGACAGGCTGCTGATTTGCTTAAAAGGGACCACGGTCCGGTTTATGCAATTCTTGCAACCAACCCTGACCCGAAAAACCACGGTGAACGACGTCCCCCGCACCTCTTCGAAGGGCGGAGGTGTGGATGCCATTGGCTCATACATGTCGTGCTCGTGCACGTGGCCAGGGTGCAGCTTGTCCTGACAGCCAAGCTGTCAGCGGTGTGAGTCTTTTCAAGGGTACCCTTTCTAAAGTTGGATTAACGGGAAGCCAAAAGGCAACAAATTGCTTTGGGAGCCCGTATCATCCCGTAATTTGACATGTACCCACGTGCGGCAATGGGTCCGTTCAAAGGCTCCACCTGATGCAGCGCAGTCAAAGTCAGTTTAAGTCATGAAAACTCGAGTGGCTCTGGCACCCGCTTTGTCCTGCATGTTGTCCACGGTCTCCTCCATTTCCTGGGGCAGCCAAAGCAATAATTACTGCCTATGGAGCATGTGGCTGTGCGAAGGACCAGTGCCGAAGGCACTGAGTTCGACAAAAACTCTGCGAACAAAAAGTTGCAAGGCCTGAGCCTCAAACGACAAACATCAGACTACCCATTCGGTTGTTTGGAGATCACATCTCGGTTCATTGAAGACGATGGCGGGTCAAAGCCCCAAGCTCAAACATTGCAAGCTGCCCGAGAGAAGAAACCCAGAGCTCGCGCGTGCACACGCCAAGTCCTTCATGTGCTCCGCCATCTCTTCGAGTGTCTTCATGACCCTTGGGGCGACAAGGGTGGGCAAACCACCGGTGCCGCGCAGCCAAAAGCGCATATCTGCGCTTTAATCAATAGCTGGACGGCTGGACATATCCCCAGTACCAGGCTGTGCAGTTGTGACTGTACCAACCATGCTGTGAACACCGATTGTTTTCTCAGGGTCCCCCTGAAGTGTTTCCAGCGCAAGCAAGCAAAAAGATTCGCAAGCCAAGAAATGTTGTTTCAGATATGCCCTCAGCAACAAGCAGCTTGACAATTGGGACTCATGCTCCGCTTGTTCATGGCTGAATGTTGGCAAACTTCATCCTGCCGCGTCACATATTGTTGCTGCCCTCGCTAGCCTTGGATATGGCGTCCATGATCCTCGGCTCGTGCGATTAGCATAGGTGGCTTTTGGAAAAAATGATGGCCCGGTGAATGGAATAAAGCAAGTCTAAACCAGTGCCCATCTAATTTCAACCAAACTAACCTAAAAAAGACGCCTATGCCATTCCAATGCTTCAATATCTGATGGCCGTATGGCCTGCGAGGCCCCCGTTTCCATGGCATCGTCAGAGATCCATGCCTCGCTAAAAAGCAGCTAAGTTTTGGGAGACTGGCTCGCTGACCAAAGAAAACCTATGGTACGCTGTGACTACTTTCTCACTTTCAAGGGGGTATCTTGGTAGCAAAGAAAATGGCACGTAACCGCGACGACATTTGGACGTGGGTCCCTAATTGTCCTTAGCCATAGGCATGAAAAAAGTGTCTATGTCGTGGCTCATTCAATCCCTGGCATTGTGCAATCCAAACAGTTGCCTCCTGACCATTTGCCCAACCTCCTACTGTGGATGGATGAAATCCACATGGTTTCAAAGTGGCGCAATCGGATTTCGTCCAGCCTTATGACAACCGAAGGGTGCGAAAAGAAACAGCCCCAGGCGCGGCTGCCAGTGCCCATGGCTCTCGTGATCATAGTGCTCGTGGTCCTCTGAATTGCCAAGAGCAAGGCGCAAAGAAACACCGACACTCACCCACACCCTAATGTTCAACTTTGTTTAAAAGAATGGTCGACCCAATTTGGCTGATGAAACTCCTTAGTTATATTGGCCCCCTTCGTTTTAATGGTGGTTTGAACACCAGCATAAGTTCACATGTTCATTCACACACGATAAACATATTGTTGTCGAAATGTCGGTTCCCAGGTTTGCGAATGGCAAGTGTCTCGCGCACGCCTTCTTGTTAAACCGTTGTGGTTCTGAAGAACCACTTGCCACTGCAGCCCCAAGAGCTTTGGGATTCACGAAGGCTTTCCAGCTGGTGGCACAATATGCCGCCTCTTCTGCGTTGAATGTCTGTCGCACAAGCACAGATACCGACAACCCGCCGAAGACGAAACACTAAAAACTACCAAACTCGGATCCCAAAGACATTCTCTGCAACTAAGCCTAGCATGGAACTAACGCAAACCCAGCACTGCATTCTTCGCTGAACTTGCGCAGGATCTACGGCTGATCTTGGCCAGCTGGGAAGCCCAAAAAAAAAACAAGGCTGCAGCTGGAAGAGCGGGAAATAGTTTAAAGAGCGAATTAGAACCAAACGATGCCTTTCCCAGCCCGGCAATGCACATGTATCCCCTTTTGGCCGAACACAAAGGCAAACATGTGAAAATGGCCCCTCCACGCAGCAAAGCCAAAACGTGTGGTCAAAACCCCTGTGGGCCGCAACGGCTCGTTGAAGACCCCTTAGCCTCTAGCGGTTGACCAGCCCTACAAGCCCAAAGCCACGGGGCAAGCTGTGGTTAGGGACCTGGTGCATCAAATGATTCGCATGGCCGGCTGGTCGACATTTCCATGGACTTCTGTCCAACTGTGGAGGGGCCCCATTAAAACCTGCTCACGGCTTGCCAAAGGCAAGCAGTGGTTTTACTTTTGCGTCCTGTGTGAGCAGCCGACACATTTTTGCCCTCAACAGCAGGCACAATATGTACGTGTATGTACATACATGATGATTGTTACCCTTCTGGCTAGCACTAGTACTATGATTGCTACTACTCTAATCAATCCGCCGACCCCTCCTGCTGTTAGCCTACTCACACCGAGGAGGGGACCGGCGTGGTTTACAACTGTTGAAGTATGCGCATATATGCGCCATACGGGAAGCTCTTCATTTTCCTAAAGTGTGGATTCGCAGGGGACATTCAGCCCTTCAACTCCTACCTGGTCAAGCTTGATTTGTGAAGTGCGAAAAGCAACATTTCGCACCTCACAGCCCAGCCAGCAACCCACCCAAGCTAGGCCCAGCAGCAGGCCCAGCCCAACCCCGCCAACACAATCGATCAAGACTGCCGTGCGCATGGGATTCCCATTCTGGCCCGAGTGTGCCCGCGCAAGCAGCCGATGCTCGACTCCGACCGATCCACGATTGAAAAAAAACCGCCAACACAGTCGATCAAGCCTGCCGTGCGCACTGATCACCACTGTCACAGCTCTGTTTTTGTCGAGACTTCTGCGCAACTTCCGCCCATGACAATTAGACCCTGCAGCCCTCCCGGACACCCCAACCTCCCAGCCATCCTGACCCACACCCGCGCCTGACAAACTTAGACCGCGCCGGTTGGGAGGCGTCAGCCTGGTAAATCCTTGCATCGTCTGCACGCCCAGGGTGCGGAAGGCTCAAAACGCTGCAAATGTGCAGCAACCCGGCGGCTTGCGGAAGCCCCTGTGTTTCGCGCATCGCCATCCCTTGCATCGCCTGCGTTTGGAGCCACCCGTCCCCAAGACATTCCTGATGACGCGCGCCTCGCCCCCCCGCACACGCGCATTTGTGCAACGCGCGGGCCGCACGCACGCAACCAACCAACGACACAACCAACCAACCAACCAACCAACCCATCCATCCATCCATCCATCCATGCCATGCCATGCCATGCCATGCCATGCCATGCCATGCCATGCCATGCCATGCCATGCCTTCCATCCATCCATCCCCCATCCCATCCCACCCATCCCATCCCATCCCATCCAATCCCAGCCCATCCCATCCATCCATCCATGCCACGCCTTCCATCCATCCATCCCCCACCCCAACCCCATCCGTCCATCCCCCACCCCACCCCACCCCAACCCCGACCCCATCCATCCATCCATCCATCCATCCGTCCGTCCATCCATCCATCCATCCACCCACCCACCCACCCACCATCCATCCAGCCATCCACCATCCATCGCGCACGGCTCGTTTTTCCTAAAGGACTTTTCCTGGCACGGGAGGTGCGCGGAGCGTGCAAATATTGCGATGAGTACTATCATCATTCATCTTATTATTATATGAATATCTATGTGTATACATATATATATATATATGTACATATATATATATGTGTGTATATGTGTGTATATGTGTGTATTTGTGCGTGTGCCTCTATGTATACGCTACGTTTCAAACGTGTCTGTTTATATGTGTACACCACAATTTTGAGTGGCGGTGTATACGGGTCCCTGACATACAGCGTCTGTTTGGTCCCTGCCTCGTCCTCCGGGGGCATCACCTCCTCTGTCTTCATGGCGTCCTGTGCGGAGAAAAATCACGCACGTGGGGGGGGGGGGGGGAGGAGGATGCGTGGTGATGCTCCCTGGCCTGTTTGGCGCCAAAAGGAGACGGCAAGACATGGGCAGAAAAGGCCTGAAAAAAAGCTGGTAACCCAACGCCGCGCATGCTTTGTAGGCCCCCCTTGTCTCTCAATCCCTTCTTGCGTGACACCAATCCGCAAGCACTGCTCTTCTCAGCTAGCCCTAGCATGGACACTGTCCTCATGTTCGTCATGCGTGTGCTCCGGCTCGTGCTCCTGACGCTCATCGTGGTGCTACTCGGTTTTGCAATCTTACTACTAATATTCTTTTGTGCCTTATTTGTTCCTTTCTTCATACCTTCTCAAACCTTGACAATATTTTAATTTGCCTGGAAAAGACTTCATCATATTATTGTGCTTCAAGCGTACCCACGCTCCCAACCTTTCCCTTCTCTTGTCTCTACAGCCTCTACATTTGTCAAGTCCTACCATGGCATGAGCGTGATCGCGTGCAAGCTCTGGATTCTCCGACAGGAAGGACGGTTGCATGATGAGCCAGCGAATGGCTGTGCCATCATGAGAGAGGTTGAATTTCCAAAACAGCCGTCATCATGAAACCGACATGAAACCCCAATCAAATCAACATGAACACCAGCATGAAACCAACATAAAACCAACATGAATCAATATGAAACCTGTATGAACCAAGGAAAGGAGTCCATTGTCAACTCTTGGCCTTGAGCCTGGTAGATATCTGCAAGTTGAATACCTTGCCCAGTCCCCTTTGCAAGCCAAAGAGGGTTGCACGTTATACAACAATTCCAAATTGTTCCAAAACCTGAACAGTAAGGAATCTCCATGTGAAGGGGCGTGCGTCATCGCCATAAACTAGGCGAACGTGTCCCATTGACTGTCCAATGCCAAACTGCCATCGCAATGTCCAACTCACTTGCATCAATTCATGCATCAATTCTAAGTGGTTGGAGGGTGCTGTGACACTGGCCGGCCCAGAAAGTGAACTGCCCGGGTCCTCATCCTTCACCACATATGGGTGGACTTCCTCAGACACATGATCGGCACATGCACCTGTTGCCTTAGCAAGATAGTGACCATGCACAACAATCTGGCAGGCTGGATATGGGCATCGTTTTTTGAGGGTACCCTTTTTGGGTTCATTCAAAGGCTAAAGGAAAGCCAACAAAAAAATCATCATTTGTAAGGCCAACCTATTTGACACATACCCAAATGCATCCTTTTCATGGGGTGAATTCTCTTCAGGTGCTGCAAGCGCATGAATTTTGCGGAGGGTTGGTTCGTCGACGCAAAAGCAAGGTTGGTTTTGGGGGTCTTCTCTTGGTCCAAGGGGAAGCCCAGGTTGGAGTTGCCTCCAGCTTGAGACCAACCCACATCGGAGTTTTCTTCATCAACCTTCAAGCCCAAATCTAGGACTTAAATCGCTCTCTAGAATCATCGTTTAGACCGTTTAGGGCTTCCCTGAAAGGAAAGCACAAAAAAAGATGCCATTCCATGTCACATTCCCTGCCTATCGAACCAGCAGGAGACGTTGACCCAGCTTTGGCCCTTTTCCGGCCTGCACCACGGGCGCCACGCGCATGGACTTGTCCACCTCCGCCCACCAGGGCGCCTTCCATCCCTCCAGCGGCGGGGCGTCCTCCTGGCAAAGCTTAAGAGCTGACAGGCGGGACGTCCGGACGGCCCAAAAGGAGGGCCGTACCCACAAAATATGAAAAACATATGTCCAGTAGTGATAGGCTCTCTTAAAATCCAACAAGGGAAAATGCAAGACGGTTCTTAAGCAAATGGAAGAGTATGCAAATGCTGGCTTCATGGGTTCAGACTAGGTCTTGTGTCCCAAAGGCTTGGTTCGGTATAGGATTGCTGTATAGTTGCTGGGTCAGGTTGTAAGTTGTAGAATCGAAATGCCACTGTGACAGTCTGGCATCATACGGAATCATACGGCTGTTGAACCAGGGAACTGGAATTCATGCCGACTCTTGACACAGAAACTGCCTCACTTGTCGCTCGTGCTAGAGCTCCCGTGATCCCAACAAAGCACATGATTGTGACTGGGGAGGGTTCCAGAGCAGAACCGCTGTGAGTGGAATGACGACAAAGGGAGATCTTCAATTCTGGCACACAAGAAAGCCTACGCAAGAAGCGGAATCGGCGTGGAGGAAAACCCATCGGCAACGCGTGCGCCAAAACCACTCGCAGCCATCTGCGCCCTGAGGGCTTCCCCAGTCCACGCCTTCGAGGGGTTGTAGGCGTAGACATGGGCGTGGTCTTGGCAGAAGCAGATTTTGACCCAGCGACCAAAAGCTTCGGCACTGCGAGTGCCACATCTGAATCCCAATCAGAGCATCACATAAGAACGGAGGAATAGCCCCCAAAAGAATGGTGGTGTCCTCCTTCTGGCTTTCCTGGTTTAACAATGTCAAGGAAGCGTGCAACTTCCAAACAAAACCTGTGCTCAAAAAAAACTAGATGTTGGCCCACATCACAGGCTGACAGCCGAAACCCCTATGAAGGCGAATCCACAACTGAAGCCTGGATCTGCCATGGAACCTTTCCGGACGCGAGGAAACCACCAATTACAACAAACTGCTTCAACTAGCTTGAGAACCTGCTGGTGTTTCACGGATCTGAACCAGGTCCAAACATACTGACTGCAAGAGCTCAAGCACCACTTGCCTGACGCCAAACGCTCTGCTGAAGCACCGTGGGACGGGAGATTCCATGAGTCTCTCACTGTCTGTTGCCCAAGATGGTTTAGGGAGGCGATATACTGACATCCCATTGACCCTTGCGGGTGGGTTGGGGTTCCGGGAAACCATCCTAGATGTTGCAATGTGCAAGCCCTCGCAATCTGCCGAGAGGCTGTCCGCGCCAGAACCGATCCACCAGCCTGCCGAGTCTGCCGCATCGTCGTTGTAGTAGTAGAGCCATACCTCCCACTGCCAAGGCAGTAAATCTGGGTCACAATCTGCAGTCAACAGTGTGGACTGTGCGGTAGCGGCACACACACACACCACAAATATAGAAAACACACATATATATATATATATATATATGGTTCCGGTCGGCGAGCGGCCCCCCCCCCCCAATGGTATCCCCCCCCACTTGGGGGGGGGGTGGCCCCTCGCCGACCGGGGTACGACTCTGGAAGCCTTGGCCCTAACCGGAACCTACCAACGGGCCCACAAAGGGGGGAGAAGCCTTTTGCAAGATGACCAGAACCTGCAAAACCAGCGGGGAGCGCACACGGGGTACGACTCGAAGCCTTGGCCCTAACAGGAGCCCACCAGCGGGCCCGCAGGGCGGGGAGAGGCGGGCGACAGGGGCAGCGCACACCGGGGTACGACTCGAAGCCTTGGCCCTAACCGGAACCCACCAGCGGGCCCACAGGGGGGGGAGAGGCCTTTTGCAAGATGACCAGAACCTGCAAACCCACCGGGCCCACAGGGGGAGGAGGGGGTGGGGCCCTATTTAAGGCTACCATGACCATGGCGGGGGAGGGGGGCGGGGCCAGACCTCTACCATATATATATATATATATATTATATTCAAACAAGGGAGACTTATGGCAAGGTGAGGTAGCAAAGCTGAAATGCTCAAAGCGCTTGCCTGCGAAAATGGAGCTGGCCGGTCAACCAATACCCGGCCCATCTTTGGCAACTTTGCTGACGTCTCTAGCTGAATATTTCTCGGACCTAAAGGATCGATAGGCGGTTTCCTTTGGTAGCGGGAAACCCGTCGATCAAGACAACCTCGCAAGGGGCCACTGGGCCTCGTCCTCGCCGGAAGCTGAGTCGTGCTTCTTGAAGGTCGGCCGGTGCTCGTGCATGCCGGCGGGCGAATAGAGCCTCAAGGCGACAACTGCATGCTGCCCTAAATTTCAAACCTAAAACATGAAGGGAAACTCAGCTTAGATGGGCTTCAAACCAGCTAAAAGGAATGCGTTAGGGATCCTGCGCCAAGCTGGCATTTTCATAAGTCACATGATCTGTGGCAACGTGCATGCCCCATGCCGCGTCAGCAGCCAAGATCAGCCACAAACCTCTTGCTTGCACGAAAAGGGTCTTCCCAATGATTGGTTCCTGCTGACCCCTCTGCAAAAAGTGTAGCTTCTTGTGGTCCAATGGACCATCCCACACGTTTCGGCCAAAATGTTGAAGTCCCAAGATCAGTTGATTACCAAATAGCCAATAAAGAACAATATCCAGGACCTCAGGACTCTGGTTAGCCATACCTATGGCCACTACTCTGCCACAACGCCACCATCTCTAAGGCCGCGGCCCTTCCACCACAGCCCGCGTGTTGGGCTCTGCGCAGCCGCTCACCTGGGGTTGGGGGGTCAACCAACCAACCAACCAACTAGCACAAAAAAAACAGTCCTGCAAAAAGAAGAACACCAGATCCGGGGAAAGGCAAGATCAAAAGCTGACAGGGATCCAGCCGTGAAGGACATTTACGAGATTGAAATAAAAACCAGGTGAGCTTGCTACAAAATAGGCAAATTCACGTGTGGAGCTCCAAATAAACTACCAGAGCTCGCTATTGACAGCTCGCCATTGAACAAAAAGGCAGATCGATGTTTGGGAAGGAAGAATCCGCTATGGCAAACCGCCGCTTCAAGCTTCCCTCATGAATGGTCCCTTTGTGAACGAAAGCGCTTTGGAGGTTCATCCCACGCAGAAACAATTGATATACATCATGGGACCAGGCCTGGGCGACTGAGTCACAAGCAAACCTTGCTGCTGCGCTGCCGTCAACGCTCGGATTGTTTGATATGGGGGGGATCCCTGATCTTCATCCACAACCCGAAAGCTGTAGGACACCACCTTCTGCCATAAGGATCTTGCGGATGGGTCTTGCACCAAGAAAACGAGGCGGGGGGGCGGGGGGACTTCTCCATGTCCCTCTCCAGCCTTTGACACATCCCCCCCCTTGCCCACCAAAAGCTTCATGCTTCACGGCCCTGCAACTGCCTGTATCGGCGGCAGCTCGGACATGTCCATGTGGTCATGGATGCCGCCCTGCGCCGACGCACAAGTTCCGCCAGGCCGTTGAAAGGTGGGCTCCGGACCCCTTGCGCATCCAAAAAGGGCCCAATTCTTGAACCCGTGGGAAAACCGGGTTCCCAGAGAGTGGCGTTCACTAGTTACTGTTTGTGAGCTTCTTGCGACCTCATGGCTCGCAGAATCTGTCGAAATCACTTCCGATGGGCCACGGGTGCGATCAAATCATTTGCTCACACGTCAAAGCTGCTTCAGCCAAACCAAACTGTCTAAGCAGCAGGCGCCTCTCGCCTCTCATTTGAGCCAAAGTGCAGTGTTCCCCCGCTTTGCCCTTTTGACGCCTTCAGGCCATGATTCCAGGGTCCAGGCTATGCGCAGGCTTCCTCAATTTGCCCTTGAAACATCATCCCATCTAAACTCAGGTGATGTCTTGACAAGAAGGGGGATCTCGTGGACACCATTGTTTTGTTGGGTACCTTTTTGAGATTTGGGGCAAGGGACGAAAGGGGAAAACTCCCATCTTGACGTCTCATTGGGATTTTGGGCAAGGGAAAGCCAAGAGAAAACCACCCATGTTACTCCCCTATTTGAGACAGACCTGGGTCCCCCGACGTAAATTGAGGAACCATCAGAGGGCGACCCTCTATCAGATACGTCAGCGGGTTGGATGGTAGCTGTGGAAGGCATCGGGCGATTGGGAGCAGCCTTCAAGGTTTGCCATGCAGCACAGCACCTCCGGTTCACCGTAAAACGGCTTCAGACCATGAACCCCCCCCCCAACCACGAAGTAAACAACTAATTGTTAAGTATGCAGCATGTCAAAAGCGGGTGAGGGATCAGAAAAAAACTTATAGGCATCAAAAAAACCTTTTTGCTGAAGATCAAAAAACTTATTAGGGATCAAAAAACTCATTCTCATTTGACTTACTATTAAAAATGAAAAATCAGAGAATCAAAAAAACAACTTTTTAGGGATAAAAAAAATATTCCCTTCGTGGCAAGCGAAGCACTTTCCCAAGGTCAGGTACAAATCGTGTCAGGCGCAGCACTTTCGCAAGGTAGGCGCACTGCTGTCGCAGATCAGGTGCAGATTTCGTGGCAAGCGCAGCACTTTCGCAAGGTGCGGTACAGATTTTGCGGCAGGCACAGCACTTTTGCAAGGTCAGGTACAGATTTCGTGGCAGGCACAATACTTTCGCAAGGTCAGGTACAGATTTCGCGGCAGGCGCAGCACTTTAGCAAGGTCAGGTACAGATTCGCGGCAGATGCAGGACTTTCGCAAGGTGCGGTACAGGTTTCGCGGCCGGCGCAGCACTTTCGCAAGAGGTACCAATTTCGCGGCAGGCGCAGCACTTTCGCAAGGTACGGAGCATTTTCGCAAACAGTGGCGAAAAAGATACGGAGATATAAACATGAAGAAAAAGAGAGAAAACAGAGAGAGACAGAGAGAGCGAGAAAGAAAGAAAGAAAGAAAGAAAGAAAGAAAGAAAGAAAGAAAGAAAGAAAGAAAGAGAGTGATGATCGAGGAAGTGATGATTCAGCAAAGGGTGCGTTGAGTTAAGCTCTGTAAAAATTCTGAAAATCAGCAGGGGGGTTGGGGGGGGGGGGCGGCAGCCCCCCCATGATGTTCGAGGAAGTGATGGTTCAACAAGGGGTGCGTTAAGCTCTGTAAGCAGTCTACAAATCAGCAGGGGGTTGGGGGGGCGGCAGCCCCCCCTCATGATGTTCGAAGAAGTCATGATTCAACAAAGAGTGATGATGATCGAAGAAGTGATGATTCAGCAAAGGCTGCCGTAATCTCTGAAACATTCTGAAAATCAGCGGGGGGGTTGGGGGGGGCTGCGCCCAGGATGCTCGAAGGGTGATGATTCAACAAAGGGTGATGATGATCGAAGAAGTGATGATTCAGCAAAGGGTGCGTTAATCACTGTCAACCTTCCACAAATCAGCGGGGTGGTTGGGGGCGGGTTCCTTCCTTCCTTCCTTCCTTCCTTCCGTCCTTCCTTCCTTCCTTCCTCCCTCCCTCCCTCCCTCCCTCCCTGCCTGCCTGCCTGCCTGCCTGCCTGCAAGGTAGGTGCAATGCTTTCGCAGGTCAGGTGCAGATTTCGTGGCAGTCAGCACTTTCGCAAGGTGCGGTACAGATTTCACGGCAGGCACAGCACTTTCGCAAGGTCTCAGGTACAGATTTCGTGGCACACAATACTTTCGCAAGGTCAGGTACAGATTTCGCAGCAGGCGCAGCACTTTAGCAAGGTCAGGTACAGATTCGCGGCAGGGCAGGACTTTCGCAAGGTGCGGTACAGATTTCGCGGCCGGCGCAGCACTTTCGCAAGAGGCACCAATGCACTTTCGCAAGGTACGGTGCAGAGTTTCAGTGAAGAAAAAGATACAGCGATATATACATGAAGAAAAAGAGAGGAGAAAGAGAGAGCGAGAAAGAAACAAAGAAAGAAAGAAAGAAAGAAAGAAAGAAAGAAAGTGATGATCGAGGAAGTGATGATTCAGCAAAGGGTGCGTTAATCACTGTCAGCCTTCTACAAATCAGCGGGGTGGTTGGGGGCGGGTTCCTTCCTTCCTTCCTTCATTCCTTCCTTGCTTGCTTCCTTCCTTCCTTCCTTCGCCCTTCCTTCCTTCCTTCCTTCCTTCCTTCCTTCCTTCCTTCCTTCCTTCCTTCCTTCCTTCCTCCCGTCCCCCCTCCCTTCCTCCCTCCCTCCCTCCCTCCCTCCCTCCCTGCCTGCCTGCCTGCCTGCAGGTACAGATGTCGTGGCAGGCGCGGCGCTTTCGCAAGGTAGGTGCAATGCTTTCGCAGGTCAGGTGCAGATTTCGTGGCAGTCGCAGCACTTTCGCAAGGTGCGGTGCAGATTTCGCGGCAGGCACAGCACTTTCGCAAGGTCAGGTACAGATTTCGCAGCAGGCGCAGCACTTTAGCAAGGTCAGGTACAAATTCGCGGCAGGGCAGGACTTTCGCAAGGTGCGGTACAGATTTCGCGGCCGGCGCAGCACTTTCGCAAGAGGTACCAATTTCGCGGCAGGCGCAGCACTTTCGCGAGGTACGGTGCAGAGTTTCAGTGAAGAAAACGATACAGCGATAAATACATGAAGAAAAAGAGAGGAGAAAGAGAGAGCGAGAAAGAAAGAAAGAAAGAAAGAAAGAAAGAAAGAAAGAAAGAAAGAAAGAAAGAAAGATAGAAAGCAAGAAAGAAAGAAAGAAAGAAAGAAAGAAAGCGAGTGATGATCGAGGAAGTGATGATTCAGCAAAGGGTGCGTTAAGTTAAGCTCTGTAAAAAATCTGAAAATCAGCGGGGGGGTTGGGGGGGGGGGGGGGGCGGCAGCCCCCCCATGATGTTTGAGCAAGTGATGAGTCAACAAGGGGTGCGTTAACCTCTGTAAGCAATCTACAAATCAGCAGAGGGGTTGGGGGGGCGGCAGCCCCCCCATGATGTTCGAAGAAGTGATGATTCAGCAAAGGGTGTGGTAATCTCTTAAACATTCTGAAAATCAGAATGGGGGGGTTGGGGGCCCCCCCCAGGATGCTCGAAGAAGTGATGAGTCAACAAAGGGTGATGATGATCGAAGAAGTGATGATGCAGCAAAGGGTGCGTTAATCACTGTCAACCTTCTAGAAATCAGCGGGGTGGTTGGGGGCGGGTTCCTTCCCTCCTTCCGTCCTTCCTTCCTTCCTTCCCGTCCCCCCTCCCTCCCTCCCTCCCTCCCTCCCTGCCTGCTTGCCTGCCTGCCTGCCTGCCTGCCTGCCTGCCTGCCTGCCTGCCTGCCTGCAGGTACAGATGTCGTGGCAGGCGCGGCACTTTCGCAAGGTAGGCGCAATGCTTTCGCAGTCGCAGCACTTTCGCAAGGTGCGGTGCAGATTTCGCGGCAGGCACAGCACTTTCGCAAGGTCTCAGGTACAGATTTCGTGGCAGGCACAATACTTTCGCAAGGTCAGGTACAGATTTCGCAGCAGGCGCAGCACTTTAGCAAGGTCAGGTACAGATTCGCGGCAGGGCAGGACTTTCGCAAGGTGCGGTACAGATTTCGCGGCCAGCGCAGCACTTTCGCGAGGTACGGCGCAGAGTTTCAGTGAAGAAAAAGATACAGCGATATATACATGAAGAAAAAGAGAGGAGAAAGAGAGAGCGAGAAAGAAAGAAAGAAAGAAAGAAAGAAAGAAAGAAAGAAAGAAAGAAATAAAGAAAGAGAGTGATGATCGAGGAAGTGATGATTCAGCAAAGGGTGCGTTAATCACTGTCAGCCTTCTACAAATCAGCGGGGTGGTTGGGGGCGGGTTCCTTCCTTCCTTCCTTCCTTCCTTCCTTCCTTCCTTGCTTCCTTCCTTCCTTCCTTCCTTCCTTCCTTCCTTCCTTCCTTCCTTCCTCCCGTCCCCCCTCCCTTCCTCCCTCCCTCCCTCCCTCCCTGCCTGCCTGCCTGCCTGCCTGCAGGTACAGATGTCGTGGCAGGCGCGGCGCTTTCGCAAGGTAGGTGCAATGCTTTCGCAGGTCAGGTGCAGATTTCGTGGCAGTCGCAGCACTTTCGCAAGGTGCGGTACAGATTTCGCGGCAGGCACAGCACTTTCGCAAGGTCTCAGGTACAGATTTCGTGGCAGGCACAACACTTTCGCAAGGTCAGGTACAGATTTCGCAGCAGGCGCAGCACTTTAGCAAGGTCGGGCACAGACTCGCGGCAGGGCAGGACTTTCGCAAGGTGCGGTACAGATTTCGCGGCCGGCGCAGCACTTTCGCAAGAGGTACCAATTTCGCAGGAGGCGCAGCACTTTCGCGAGGTACGGTGCAGAGTTTCAGTGAAGAAAAAAATACAGCGATATATACATGAAGAAAAAGAAAAAAAGAGAAAGACAGAGCGATAAAGAAAGAAAGAAAGAAAGAAAGAAAGAAAGAAAGAAAGAAAGAAAGAAAGTGATGATCGAAAAAGTGATGATTCAGCAAAGGGTGCGTTAAGTTAAGCTCTGAAGAAAATCTGAAAATCAGCAGGGGGGTTGGGGGGGGGGGGGGGCCGCCCCCCCCCATGATGTTTGAGCAAGTGATGATTCGACAAGGGGTGCGTTAAGCTCTGTAAGCAGTTTACAAATCAGCAGGGGGGTTGGGGGGGCGGCAGCCCCCCCCATGTTTTTCGAAGAAGTGATGATTCAACAAAGGGTGATGATGATCGAAGAAGTGATGATTCAGCAAAGGGTGCGGTAATCTCTTAAACATTCTGAAAATCAGAATGGGGGGGGTTGGGGGGCTGCGCAGCCCCCCCCCGGATGCTCGAAGAAGTGATGAGTCAACAAAGGGTGATGATGATCGAAGAAGTGATGATTCAGCAAAGGGTGCGTTAATCACTGTCAACCTTCTACAAATCAGCGGGGTGGTTGGGGGCGGGTGCCTTCCTTCCTTCCTTCCTTCCTTCCTTCCTTCCTTCCTTCCTTCCTTCCTTCCCGTCCCCCCTCCCGTCCCCCCTCCCTCCCTCCCTCCCTCCCTCCCTCCCTCCCTCCCTCCCTGCCTGCCTGCCTGCCTGCCTGCCTGCCTGCCTGCAGGTACAGATGTCGTGGCAGGCGCGGCGCTTTCGCAAGGTAGGTGCAATGCTTTTCGCAGGTCAGGTGCAGGCAGTCGCAGCACTTTCGCAAGGTGCGGTGCAGATTTCGCGGCAGGCACAGCACTTTCGCAAGGTCTCAGGTACAGATTTCGTGGCAGGCACAATACTTTCGCAAGGTCAGGTACAGATTTCGCAGCAGGCGCAGCACTTTAGCAAGGTCAGGTACAGATTCGCGGCAGGGCAGGACTTTCGCAAGGTGCGGTACGGATTTCGCGGCCGGCGCAGCACTTGCGCAAGAGGTACCAATTTCGCGGCAGGCGCAGCACTTTCGCAAGGTACGGTGCAGAGTTTCAGTGAAGAAAAAGATACAGCGATATATACATGAAGAAAAAGAGAGGAGAAAGAGAGAGCGAGAAAGAAAGAAAGAAAGAAAGAAAGAAAGAAAGAAAGAAAGAAAGAAAGAAAGAAAGAAAGAAAGAAAGAAAGAAAGAAAGAAAGAAAGAGAGTGATGATTGAGGAAGTGATGATTCAGTAAAGGGTGTGTTTAGTTAAGGTCTGTAAAAATTCTGAAAATCAGCGGGGGGGGGTTGGGGGGGGGGGCCCCATGATGCTCGAGGAAGTGATGATTCAACAAGGGGCAGTCTACAAATCAGCAGGGGGGCTGGGGGGGCGGCAGCCCCCCCCATGATGTTCGAAGAAGTGATGATTCAACAAAGGGTGATGATGATCGAAGAAGTGATGATTCAGCAAAGAGTGCGGTAATCTCTTAAACATTCTGAAAATCAGCGGGGGGGTTGGGGGGGGGCTGCGCAGCCCCCCCCCGGATGCTCGAAGAAGTGATGATTCAACAAAGGGTGATGATGATCGAAGAAGTGATGATTCAGAAAAGGGTGTGTTAATCACTGTCAACCATCTACAAATCAGCGGGGTGGTTGAGGGGGGTTCCTTCCTTCCTTCCCCCTCCTTCCGCCCCCCCCCTCCCTCCCTCCCTCCCCCCTTCCCTCCCTCCCTCCCTCCCTCCCTCCCTGCCTCCCTCCCTCCCTCCCTCCCTCCCTTCCTTCCTTCCTTCCTGCCTTCCTTCCTTCCTTCCTTCCTTCCTTCCTTGTTTCTGTGTCCCCATAGGAATAAAAAGATTTGTTTGATCCCTAAGAAAGTTTTGTTGATCCCTAATAAGTTTTTTGATCCCGGATCCCTAATAAAAGTTGTTTGATGCCTATTACGTCAAAAGCACTTGCCATGGCTTTTGCGAGTGCGTTGCAGGTCTTTCTTGGAAATGCTGCTGTTCACCTCAGCGTCATCTTTCGTTAGAAAGCAGGTCCACGTTTCTGGACAACAGTCCAAACCTGCCACGGCTCAGCTGAAACCGCCCGCCTTCGGCATCTTGGCGCCAGTGCACTCACACCCGCCAACCATGAAAAACCAGGTGGTTTCCGGAATGCGGTCAACGCCTCGATAGCCTCGGCCCAGACAGGCGCAAAATGTTACTTTTGCTGCAGAAGCTGACACAAAGTTTGACTTGTAATCTCTTCCCCCTATTAATGAATAACCCCAGTTAATTAAAAAAAATGGAAATCCGGGGCCCGGGACCAGATTTCCACTCCGCACAATTGATTTTCCATTGCGCCAATACTAAGCCAATACTAAAGTCTTGGAATCCTTATTAGGGAGCACTTTTAACCTTCCAGCCCCACTTTTAAAAAGGTGGGCCCTTTATTGGGGTGGTGTCCCTCAAAAGAAAACATGTCCCCAAAAGCTGTCTAGCTGCGACTGTCTCTCTCCCGTACATGCTGGCTAATTAATTAACCTGCCTGGCTGCAAACAAACAACCAGTAAACTGAAAAACAAATAGAATGATACATAAAATTTCCTTTTTAAACCGCTTAAAAAAATGGGGAGGATTGTTTAATAATTGGGGGGGGACCCGTATTTATTAATAGGGGGAAGAGATTACCGTTGCACCGGCCAGGCTCAAACTGTGGCCACACCACAACGGTCTATCGCTGCAGCCTTGCGGCAGTCAACTCCTCTTTGTGGGGATCCGGTTACCAACCGAAGCTTGGGCTGTGACCCACTGCCTGAGACAGTCCCAAGTCTCAGCCCCGCGGAGAAGAGCTGAGCCCCCCGGCATCCGTGCGGGTACGTCTTCTCAGAGCCGCACTCGCAATCCAAAGGGCAGTCGTGGCCGTAGGTGATCGTGTTGTCACCTCAGGTGGTTTTCCCATTGGCTCCCCGTGATTTTCTTCTGGCAAGAATGGGGTTCTCTGGCAGCCCAGTCAATGCAGTAAGTTGGGCAACGTGGGTGAAGCCAACCTTGCCCCGTGAAAGAGAGAAAGAAGCATGCCGGCCCAGCAAGGCCGCGTGGACGGACAAGAGGGCGACTCGATCTGCGGCCAGGCCGCTGTTGCAGCGCAACTTCACTGTGAAGGCCTCGTGGAAAAGACCTCGTTGCAACATGGGCAGGGAAATATGTCAACTCTTCTCGGCCTGGGGTTCAAACCACCATTAAAAAATGCGTTAATATAACCACAATTATTTACCTAATGAGTTTCATCAACCAAATGGGGTCAACCATTCTTTTGAACGGGGTTGAATCCCAGGGTCTGGCCCCATGCCTTTCTGGGCGTGCCAGAAGGCAAACCGAGCAAGCCTTCCCCGGAGCCTTTTCGTGGGCAGCCGCCCACCCTGGTCCGCCCCCAGCCCCCCAGCCCCCCAGCCCCCCGGCCTCCCCCAACCACGCGGCTGCAGCTGCCCTGCTGCTGGTAAAGCTCCTGGCGCAAAATCCCATGAGGAACCCCACAAGGAACCCCACAAGGAACCCATAAACATTTGGAAAAAAAGAACCCCGTCAGGTTCCACTAGTGGTTTTCCCAGGTGCCCCATGCTGGGAGGAACGAGGCCGGCCCAAGCCCCGAGAAGGTTGTACGACCACGAGATTCTATGCAACAAAGGGCCGGGCAATCCAAACAGCTTCAGTCGGATAGCTTGGCTCGACGTCTCTGACAATCCTAATGTCAATAGAACTGCGTCTACCCCGGAGGCTTGCCGCGATTCGGGCCCATCGGGGCTTCGATTTGGCCTTACTCCCAAGAGATATCAAATATCTGTACATATCTGTACACATGCTCTCTCGAGTGTGCAGCATCCATGCCATGGAAGCATATCCAACCCAGGGCAAAACATCGACCACGTCTCCGCTGCCCCATTCGGCCTTGAAGCCCTGGTCAAAAATGTTCGCCAGCCCGAGGTGGCAACAAGCCTGGCAACGAAACGGCCACCCACTCGCCTTCGCCTTGACAAGTCGCACATACAACCATTCTGCAGGTTCCATCGAATTGCGCTGGCGAAATTCATGACCACTCTTTGACCAAACATGACGCAACCAGCCAAACCTAACAACAACTCCCAGGAAAACCGAGCTCCACGAGTTCGTCTCGGATGCGCTTGGGGCCGCGCCTCCGGCACTAGGGCATCCACTGGGAAGCTTCGGCATTCCACCTGAAACCCAGAGCCCCTCCCCAAGGACGGACCGACTGTTCCCCTCCGCGTATTAATTTTGTTTCTGAAAGGTTGGATACTGGAACTTGGGAAGCATCCAAACCTGCCAAACCTTGGTAGCGATGCTTACGCCTAGCTAAGCCCAGCAAGCGACCAAATGACGTACAATTACAAGCGGACCCAGGCGAATCATGTGATTCTGCCAGGCTTGAGCACAGCCTCCAGCCGTCCAACTGCGCAACCCATGGCCGCAACAACCCCAACAAAATACTCTACATCATTGCTCACTCTGGATTGTATGAGCGTGATGTCGCGTGGGGCGGTCACCCAAGCTGCTTGGAGGGTTCCCTGTTCGTGGTTCGAGAGGGCTACCAAGGGGAAGGCACACCATTTTCTGCCGCCTCAGAAAAAGACCCCCCACTGCCTTTGAAGGATTGAACGCCCATCGCCACGTGGCCTCCTCGAAGTTTAGGATTGACCAGGTGAAAGATGCTTGCAATCTTGCAATCACATGTTGTTCTTAGAACTGACCAGTAGCTAAAGTCGCACCATGAAGACTACACATCACACAGACTTCCTAGACCTCTAACTTAACCAACTTCTTCCAACTTGGGCACAAGCACAGTCGGGAAAGCAGGAAAGGGGGTCACTTGGGGCACGTGTCTTCTGGGCCACTTGGAGCACATACCTTCCGTGACATGGCTTGAACAGCGTTCAGTGAAACGCTGCTTTGAAGGGAACAACCTTGAATGTACTTATGACACTTCTCTTTCTATGCTTTGTTTTGTATGCATACACGCGCCTTCGCGCACTGCGCTCAATATTCCCGAATAAGTTCCCTAGGGTCTACCCTGCATATCATCGGCGTATAACCCACGGGGACTTCACCAAGGATGCAGCCTTTGAAGCATGAAGCGGAGTCCCTGGTCGGATGTCTCGAGGATATAAGCCAATTACACTTCCACACACTTTTTGGGGGGGTTCCATGTTAATCTGCAGGGGACCCTCCGGGAGTAAGTGGGGGTGGTCATCCAGCGGCATACCCAGCCAAGGTGCCGGGAGGCCCATCAGCTGCTGCTCCGAGCCGTTGTACACAACCTGAGCGAAGGTAACCCCATCGCAAGCCAAGACTGCTGTGCTTTTCCAACAAAGGGGTAGGATTCTTTCTGTTTTTCTCTCTTGTTTTGATTTCTCTCTCTCTCTCTCTGTCTCTAGCCCTGGTGTACGCCATTGAGGTGGGGATTCATGTCCAGTAATGGAGGAGTCCACCAACCACTTTTGAGGTGGGTCCCCATTGAATCTCACCACTAAAAGGGGGGCCCCGTCCCCCAGTTTTGGACACGTACTCGCTGGCTTGCCAAGGTCGTAGATGACTTGCTGAACCGCTTCCGCCCCGCGTGGAAACCTGTGGGGCCCCCGGCCGATGCAGGCAAATCGAGGTTCACCAGACCCAGGCCAAAGCAAAAACCAACGGGTTGAAAAAAAGGACAGCCACGTTGTTTCAGCAAATGCCCGACACTGGCCAAGAGATTTCCTCATTCTCCTGCCGAAGCGCCCAGCCACCGTTGGGCGCCACAGTCTGGTTGCGGCAGGGGCTGGCCAGGTGCTCGGGATGCAGCGGAGGAGGCACGTGCGGCTCCCAATGCTCAGCCTCAAGACGCGGAGGCTGACGCGAATCGGGTGAGAGCACACGTCCCTGCTGAACCTCACTTCCGATCGAGTGGATGGGCCAAAAAGGTAAGCAAACATCAGATCATGTTAGTTTACTCTTCTATTTTGCTACGCGTGACATGGGACCAAACCGGGGTGCCTTGAAAAAGCGCTAAATTTGGCCTTACACGTGAATCTTCTTGAAACCCTTCCCTGCCCCGTGTGCCACCTCATCGTGGATATCGTGGTAGGTGACGTTGCCCTGGAAGGAACAAAACTGCGCGTGTGGACAGTCCTGATATGCAATGCTGTTGTCCGTTTTCACGGAGATTGGATCCGCAAAGTTTCCAAGAAACGCGTCCAATGCTCAAGTATCCTTGCTGCCATGGCTAGCATTGTGCGCATGAGTACATATGAGTACAGACAATGCCCAAAAAAGCGGAAGCATGCGAAATGCGAACCCCCTGCCTTCTCAAATGTTGGCATCCCCTCTGCCTGCGAACAGCGCCGACAAAGAAGGGTGCAATATATCAGCTTCCTCCAATTGGTGCTTTGGATTGGTGGTTTGGTGGCTCAGGAAGGGTTTCCCATTTACCCTCTACAAAAGAGAGGGGTTGAAACTGTCAAACCACCAATCCAAACCACCAATTAGGGTGTGCCTGAATGTAAGCTGCTCAGCTTCTTTGCAGATTCTAGCACCTATTCTGTCCCTACCAGTTCTCTGCTGATCGCTTCAAAACTGAGACAAATGTACATACACACGGCAAACAATCAGTCGGACAAAGACAGATCCAATGGGAGACAAGCCAAAAACAAGGAGAGAGGGGCGCACGAGCGTATTCAACAGAAAAAAAAAAAACTCGGCAAAGAGGACCAAGCAAGCAGCAGGCACTGCAACCAGGCAGCAGGCCGGCAGGAGAAAGGCAAACAGCAAACATAAGAAGAACAAGCCAAACCAAGAAACAAACAAGCAAACAAGCAAGCAAGCAAGCAAGCAAGCAAAGCCACCGACTGCCAAGAAACCCAAAACCGAATCCCAACCAAAGCGACTAGCTAGCCAGCAAGCAAGCAAGAAAACAAAAGACACAGTAAGCTTAAAGAACCTCGGTGCTGCCCAGCTAAAACACGGACAGCATGCCACAATGCAGAAAGTTCGGCTCCAGAATCTGCTCATGCACTCACCTCGCTTCCTGAGTGAGGCAAAAACGTCCAAACTCCAAACCTTCCGCTCGCCACTGTGGCCTTCATTCCCGACTTGAAAAGTACACAAAAGTCCATGAAAGCTGAGGTGAGTGACTCATGCTACCTAGCGCTTTAAACATCCACCAGGTCGACTTCTCCGAACTCCCGCGACTCGCCAAGAGTGAGCGAGCGCCAGCGTTGCGCGTCGCCTGCGCGAAGTGGAGGTGGGACTCCCCAGAACTGGTCCAGGGCACGTGCCATCCCGCCATCGGCGGCTCGGAGGCCTCCGAAATCGATTGGGGCTTGGGACCCTGGACACTGGCTGGTTCAACCCGGCCGCAACGTGCAAAATGGTGACAAGTCTCCTAAGTCACATGATGCAGTCGCATGTTGCCTTTCTGGATAGCTCAGACCAGTCATGCCAGTCCAGATTCTGCATTCTTATGGCCCAGTCAAGTGGCCTGGCATGTGGAAAAATCTGAGAGCTTCAAACGCGAAACCCAGTCACTGCAAAGGGCTGGCTGGCAGTTGGCCCTGTTGCAGAGCACACTCACTGGTGCCAAGGCGCATCCGAAGGATTGAAGGCATACCTGAGAGGCACGCCTCTTCTCAGCAATGCTCAGCGCTTAGCTTAGCCTCCTATCGAATATGAAACCTGAGAAAGGCCGCCCAGAAGCGCCCCCCCCCTTGCTGCTCAAGGCAAAACCTGCAGCATTACTGTTGCTGAATCTTCCCCACACCCCACCCCTGCTACGCAAAGGCCCAACCCGAAACCTTGCACAGCCACTGCTGCAACCTGCGGCCCAAGCACACGCTGCCGTGACCGGCGTACTGCCCAAACCACCAGCCAGTCCTCCCCTCACTCTCGATGAAATACACCGAGACCTGGCCGGGTGCCGCGAGCCTACGTCTCAGAACCATGTTGCGCAAATCGCCGGTTCGGCTGTTCGGATGGGGAATTGTTCCTAAATGACCGGGCCACCCCGAAAATGGATCTGGTGCGTTGGACACACTTCTAGCCTAAGAGGAGGGCCCAGGAAAGGAAGCGGGCCCCGCCCGCAGGCCAACCATCTGCCCGCCTCTTCATCACCGTCTTTGGTGAACATTGGCTTGCCATCATTGTCGCCGGTCTCATGGTAGAACCTCTGCTTTGCTGGCACCACTTCGAAGCTATCAAATGGCTTCGCCAGACAAAAACCCTTTCATTGAACCCAACCATTTGACATGGCAGTCTGCCGGGTCTCGTTTATAAAGCACCCAACTGAACTAGGCCGTCTCTCGCCAGCGACCACGCGCAACTCAGCCCAGCACCCATTGATCAGCTTGCACACATCGTCCTAGGGACCACCACATCAAACAGTTATATAAAGTAAATGTCAACACGCCTGCCACCCAGGACCCGGGCAATGCATCGCTTAGTCATGCACTGTTGAAGGACCTTCCGGGTTCCATGTTAATTTGTGGGTTGCACTTTTGACCTTAACCCCCCTCCCCCTTTTTTCCCCGCTCCTCAGTGCAGCCCTCCGCGACGAAGCCAAAGCCGCCGAAGCCGTGAGCCTCGTCGTGGTCCTTGCGTTTGAAAGGGGCCGTTCGAGGACATACCCCCAAACCCCCAGACGAAGAAGGAGCAGAAGGAGGAGGAGAAGAAAAGAAGAAGGAGAGAGGAAAAACTAGCCACAATCGGAGAAATCAAGGAGAAAGACAAGAGGAAGAAAAAGGAAAAGGAGGAGGAAAAAGGAGGAGGAGGGGGAGGGGGAAAGGAGGGAGGCCGTAGACCTCCTGGGAAAAAGGGCAAGCTGCTTTTGGTAGAAAATGAGCATGGAACCCAAAAAGGGGTCATGACTTTTTGGATTCCCTGGATTTCGCCTTCAACCACGACTGAGTGGTGCTCTGGAATGCTCCTTTTGGACCTATCCAGCTGGTAGTTTCCTTTATTCCGGAATACCCTTCCGGTTCCCTCAGTCCCTATCGCACCAGCAAGACGAGCGAAACCTTCAAAGTGCCACAAGCAATTGGCTTTGATGAAGCGTGGCCATGGCCCCTGGCTCCATGTCTTCCCGTCTTCCCTTTTGCCCGGCTGGGCCCCTTTTCTTCGAGCATCAAACCTGCCGCCCTTGCAGTATCCAAGTTTCAAGCAAGAAGGAAGGATCAATCCTACCAGCCTTAGCCAAAACATGCTGAGGTCATGCTCGGGACTTCGGCCACTCGACAGTCACAGTTGCTCAAAAACTGGCAAACGTGATGCTGAGGGTCCCAAACCAGTGCCTTGGATTCAATGCGCGCACCTCATCCACATTGACCTCTCGATGGAACAATGCTGCTTTCATGGGCCTCTTAGGCAAAAAGAAAGCGTAACCTGTCCAGACCCTTCATTGCTTGCTTGCAATTCATGGATGAGGTCCCATGATATGACTTGCCTGCCGGGCGCAGTGGCTTAATGGCAAGCTTAAACTCATCATGAAGGCACGCTGATCGAAAGCAAGTACTTCTTTGCCTTCAAATCAAAGAAGTCGCACTTTCTGGGTAAGAAAAATGCCCGCTTCTGGGCCGAATCGAACAGGAAAACACGGCGCTGTCCTCGCCTTCTTCAAAAAAGCATAGTAATATTCATCCTTCACAACTCTAAGGATTCTAGGTCCGAGAATGCTCAATTTAGAATAGCCAAATTGGAACCAATACAAAAACAGTGATTTTCCCTACCGTCCTCAACGCCAGCCGTGTTAGGGGCCTTTCAGAACCAGCACTAACGACTGCTAAACCGAGAAAAAAAAAGAAAAAGGAGGAAACTTGGGCCCAGAAAGGGGGAGACCTCATTTGGACGAGAGCCGAAGAGGACCACCGAAGAGAGCCCCCCAATTTTCGCAATGCGCATTTTCTCGGAGATTTGTTTTGCTAGTTGGGGGCAAGGGATCAAAAACAACAAGCCCCGAGGCCCACCCGCCTCGCCTCTGGGTGGGGTGGCATCCCAGAGAAGTGCGCCTTTGCTGCCTGGAAATGCTTGCTTGGGCTTCTCACAGTGCCTTCCGAAACGATTTTCTCCTAGGTCCGAAGTGTCAGATCTAAATGTTACATGAAGGAAATGATCCGGGAACTGACCAGCCTGTAGTTCATGACTATATAGTGGGTTTTGGCAACTCTGCAAAAGTTTAAGTTGTGTGAGTCCAATGGTAAATCCATTTTTCCCGAAAAGCTAAAGTCCAACCAAATATCCATAAACATACAACGTGGGCACCATAAACTGGCGGGTGCTCTGATTGCTTAGCGTCCCGCTCTTTCTTCTTTCAGTTGTTGCTTTATGTCTCTCCACCTCGAGTTGGACGGCAACGGCTTCAAGACGTCATGCATTGCAAAATTATGCGAGAAGAACATGGGCTTCCAACTCCAGTGGCCTAGGCGGCCTCCGCGTGTTCGAAACACTTGTGGCGCTGGCCAGCCGCAGGTGTGGGTTGCAGGTGTTTTGGTTTGTTGGAGCAAGGTCATGTACGCCTGCAGCCGGCAGCCTGCCTAACCAGCCCCTTGTCACACACCAGGCCGTCGAGCACGCTTAACGGGACGGAAATGGGTTGTTTGCTTGCACTACCAGAATGAATGCAAGACCCTCGTGTAGGCCCAACAGCAACAAAGATGTTGAAGGATGCTCGGCCCGAGACTTGACCAGCCTTGCACACCGAGGATGCAACACACCCAGCAAGCCATCTGCCCCTTCTCCCCCCCCAGCTCCCGCCTCGGCAGCCATAGCCTGCTGCGCAGTACTCCTCACAAGGTCTGGCTGGATTGCTCCGCGTCTGAAGGCACCAGGCTAAGTGTCAACTTGCAAATATTCTAGTGAGTCCAAATTTGCTATGCAAACACACATTTACTTTCATTGGGCGTATGGGCTTGGCTTGCTTGGGAGCGTGCCCAACCTTTCAGGTCGAAAACTCAAATTGCTGCTCGGCAGCATGCCGTCGGCTGCCGCTGCCGCCGCTGCTGCAGTGGCCGCCACCTCCGCTGCCTTCGCGACGGGCAAACCTTGGCGAAGGGCATCACGTCAGGCTGTCCAAGCCATCAACCAATCCCACTTTGTGTTCACTCAGCTTTCCCGAAAGCATCGAGAAGGCTTCTTCCGCCAAGTGCGCGGTTATCTTGTACTTACAGAGAACTTGCCTGGAGAATTTGCACGGAGAACATGTACAGAAAACTTGCACAGAGAAGCCTCCGGAAAAAAAATGCAAAGAAGTTTGCGCAGAGACCTTGCACAAAGAATGTGCAAAAAGATGGAGAAGTTGCATGCAGCAGGCTGCTATCCGCGGCGCGAAGTTGTCTACTTTTCATGTTTGCCGACCAATGTTTGGAATATAAAGCATGCAAACGTCAAAACCTTGCTACTTCCCACAAAATACAAACACAGCTGCTCCAGAAAAAACAACTTTAAACGCCTATTGTAGATGCCGGACACAGCGAAGTCCGATTACCATGCGAGAGCCCTGTGGCTCAAACACTCTAGCGCGCCTTTTGTCTCTAAGCTCGAGAATCCCACCCTGCGGTGTGCGACAACCTCACTTGCTTAGCGGGAAATGTCATGACCCCTTATCCTGAGGTTTTCGCGCAACAACTTCAGGCTCTGCTCAACTTGTTGGTACCGGTGAGGGTCTCAACTCTTGCCTTCGAGACTTCCGAATTCCGAAAACTTCTGCCGCATATTGTGGCGCCGACTGGTTGGCCCTCCAAGAGAGGCATCCAAGTGCACCCCTCAACTCAGAGACCTCCTGCAAAGTGAGCGGGTGGTACTTCTGCTTTGCTCTCTCACCGTCCAGCCGGATCTCCTTGATGAATTTCTTGGTGTAGTTTTCCTGGTCTATCTCGATCTCCCGGCTGGGGTGCTGTTGCAGCCGTATTCCCGCAAACTCGAAACTGTCTGTTTCCCACTTGGTTCGTCTCCTCACCTCCGACCAGAAAGTCGTCGACATGAATGCCGCATAGGCCAATGACCTTGCCCATCAGCACCTCCTCGTAGTTGATAGCATCCTCCTCTGCCAATTGCTTCCATCCAGCCGTCGTAAGCCGCTGCACCACGTCCTTGAACCATGCCCGAGGAGCATGTGCCAGTCCGCAGAATGCCTTGCGCAGCTTCACCATGAAGGATCTGTCCTGTGGATCACCGCCGAATGCCGCAATGACCTCCGGAGGCGGTATCACATAGAGCTCTTGACACTCCATGTCCCCTACGCTTGCAAGAAGGCGCTCGTCACGTCTCCAGCCTTTACCCGGAACTTGTTGTTCACGAAGGCCGCCAGTAGAGCGTACTTTCCCGCCTTGCTCATCGTCGGGCTGTGCGTCTTTGACGCTCGGTGCTCTTGCACGTGAGCACCCACCGCATCTTCATCGCCTGTGCCGGTGTCACCCGGTCCTTCTCCTCCTTGTTGAGGCTCCTCTGCGCTGCCGACCGCAACACGTTGGATCTTTCCACCGCCATCGACTCATCGAAATTCTTGCGCTCATCCTCGTTCAAGTGGTTCCAGGAGACCTCCTTAGACTTCTCCATCATCTTGGCTGACAGCCAACATTCTGGATCTCTCTTGAACTCCTTGAAGTCCTTCTTCTCGACGTTCAACTCCCGCACGAAGCCCAAGAATTTTACCTCCTCTGCTTTCTCGTCCTCCGATGCCTTGCCTTCTTCACCGTCCGGGATCAACTCCTCATAGTCCGAAGCGTCCTCGGTGAAGATCTTCCTGTCGGTCTGGGGGTCCCAGACGTATTCGGCATCAGAATGTGGTGGTCGATGCCCTCCAGGTCGTACACAGTCTGGCACGCTCGTGTTCTGGACCTTCCTCGTTCCTTCAGGTGAGGCCTTGCCCGTTGCCGTGGTTGGACTTGCACCACCGCCGGATTCAGGTCCTCCTGCATCTGCTGCCGGTTCGGTGACTCCCCCAAAATGTCCAGGTAGTTCGTGCCAGTGAAATCACCGGTCCTCTCATCACCACTGCGCCCTTCACTGTGGCGCCCAGTTCTTCTCCCCTAGTGCACGTCCTGATCTGGCCTTCACCAACGTGTTGCCCGCGATCACCCAGCATGTCCGGTTCTAGTTCTCCACCGCCAAAACACGAACAGGTCCAAGCCAACCTAGGCTTAGCTCTCTGCCTCCAGATCATCGCCAGATCCCCATGTTGAAAGCTCTCAGCCGAGCGATTGGTCGTGTTGCCGCGGCGGAGTGTGCTCTGCCTCGCCGTCCAAGAAATACATCTTGAGGATCCTGAACGCTGCTGGGCCATTGCCAAACCGGAACCTTGGCCTGTCCCGGGTTCAGCCGCGTCCAGCATTTCCGAACCGCCTTGATGCCACCCTCAGAGTCGATGACCACCTCCACCGCCATCCGGCATGACGCCCAGCGTGTTGACCACCGGGTCACTCCAGTGACCGACCGTTGGCTTTGGCCGGCATGTCTGTCCGGACATGAGGTGTAGGTGCGTCCCTTCTGTCCGCACACGAAGCACGGACCCTTCTGCGAGTACCCCTTGCCCTTCGGGGATTTGCCGTGGCCTGAGAAACCTTTGCTGGGCTCGGGTGCTTGCTCTGTCCTTGGTCTTGCCGCCGAATTGCCGTTGCCCTTGTTCGGCTCGTAGAAACCTCTTGCTGCCCGTGCTTTGGCCACGCCTCCAAGGCAACGGTACGCCGGCTCCGCCTCCGGCGTCTCCTCTGCCTGCTCCGTCGGGTTTTTCTTGCTCTTGTTCTTGTGTTTGTTCTCTTTCTGGTGAATTTTTCTTTGCTCCACCTTCCTGTGCCTCGGGCCTGATCTTTTGTTTGTCGCACACCGCAGGGTGGGATTCTCGAGCTTAGAGCCCATCCGGAGCACCGCAGCACCATGCCTGATAACTCCATCTTTGATGCACTTCACAGGAGAGCTTCAGGTGCGCCCAGATCAGTGCGGAAAAGATGGAGATCAGTGCGCGCGCGCGTGCACGCATGTGCTTGGATACAGCCCTGGGGTGTGCAAATGGGAGAAGAGGAAACTGAGAATTAGAAGAAAAAGAGAACAAGGAGCACACAAAGCATGGACAGTCCGGGGATTGAACCCGGGGCCTCCCGCATGCTGAGCGGGTGTGATACCACTACACCAACTGCCCCTGACACATTGGATGCACCTTTCTTTGTGCAAGGAGAAGAAGGGAGAAAAGAAGAGAAAAGAAGAGGAGAAAAGAAGAGGAGAGAAGAAGAGGAAGAAGAGGAGAGAAGAAGAAGAAGAGGAGGAGAAGAAGAGGAGGAGAGAAGAAGAGGAGAGGAGAGAAGAAGAGGAGGAGAGAAGAAGAGGAGGAGAGAAGAAGAGGAGGAGAGAAGAAGAGGAGGAGAGAAGAAGAGGAGGAGAGAAGAAGAGGAGGAGAGAAGAAGAGGAAAAAAAAAAAAAGAGGAGGAGAGAAGAAGAGGAGGAGAGAGAAGAGGAGGAGAGACAAGAGGAGGAGAGAGAAGAGGAGGAGAGACAAGAGGAGGAGAGACAAGAGGAGGAGAGACAAGAAAAGGAGAGGAGAAGAGGAGAGGAGAGGAGGAGAGGAGAAGATGAGAGGAGAAGAGGAGAGGAGAAGAGGAGAGGAGAAGAGGAGAGGAGAAGAGGAGAGGAGAAGAGGAGAGGAGAAGAGGAGAAGAGGAGGAGAGAAGAGGAGAAAAGAAGAGGAGACAGAGAAGAGGAGAGAAGAGGAGGAGAGAAGAGGAGAGAAGAGGAGAGAAGAGGAGAGAAGAGGAGAGAAGAGGAGAGAAGAGGAGAGAAGAGGAGAGAAGAGGAGAGAAGAAGAAGAGAAGAAGGAGAGAAGAAGAGGAGAGAAGAAGAGGAGAGAAGAAGAGGAGAGAAGAAGAGGAGAAGAGGAGAAGAAGAGGAGAAGAAGAGGAGAAGAGAGAAGAGGAGGAGAGAGAAGAGGAGGAGAGAGAAGAGGGGGAGAGAGAAGAGGAGGAGAGAGAAGAGGAGGAGAGAAGAGGAGAAAAGAAGAGGAGACAGAGAAGAGGAGAGAAGAGGAGGAGAGAAGAGGAGAGAAGAGGAGAGAAGAGGAGAGAAGAGGAGAGAAGAGGAGAGAAGAGGAGAGAAGAGGAGAGAAGAGGAGAGAAGAAGAAGAGAAGAAGGAGAGAAGAAGAGGAGAGAAGAAGAGGAGAGAAGAAGAGGAGAGAAGAAGAGGAGAAGAGGAGAAGAAGAGGAGAAGAAGAGGAGAAGAGAGAAGAGGAGGAGAGAGAAGAGGAGGAGAGAGAAGAGGGGGAGAGAGAAGAGGAGGAGAGAGAAGAGGAGGAGAGACAAGAGGAGGAGAGACAAGAGGAGGAGAGACAAGAGGAGAAGAAGAGGAGAGGAGAGGAGGAGAGGAGAAGATGAGAGGAGAAGAGGAGAGGAGAAGAGGAGAGGAGAAGAGGAGAGGAGAAGAGGAGAGGAGAAGAGGAGAGGAGAAGAGGAGAAGAGGAGGAGAGAAGAGGAGAAAAGAAGAGGAGACAGAGAAGAGGAGAGAAGAGGAGGAGAGAAGAGGAGAGAAGAGGAGAGAAGAGGAGAGAAGAGGAGAGAAGAGGAGAGAAGAGGAGAGAAGAGGAGAGAAGAGGAGAGAAGAAGAAGAGAAGAAGGAGAGAAGAAGAGGAGAGAAGAAGAGGAGAGAAGAAGAGGAGAGAAGAAGAGGAGAAGAGGAGAAGAAGAGGAGAAGAAGAGGAGAAGAGAGAAGAGGAGGAGAGAGAAGAGGAGGAGAGAGAAGAGGGGGAGAGAGAAGAGGAGGAGAGAGAAGAGGAGGAGAGAGAAGAGGAGGAGAGAGAAGAGGGGGAGAGAGAAGAGGAGGAGAGAGAAGAGGAGGAGAGAGAAGAGGAGGAGAGAGAAGAGGAGGAGAGACAAGAGGAGGAGAGACAAGAGGAGGAGAGACAAGAGGAGGAGAGACAAGAGGAGGAGAGACAAGAGGAGGAGAGACAAGAGGAGGAGAGAGAAGAGGAGAGGAGAAGAGGAGAGGAGAAGAGGAGAGGAGAAGAGGAGGAGAGGAGAGGAGGAGAGGAGAGGAGGAGAGGAGAGGAGGAGAGGAGAAGAGGAGAGGAGAAGAGGAGAGGAGGAGAGGAGAAGAGGAGAGGAGAAGAGGAGAGGAGAAGAGGAGAGGAGAAGAGGAGGAGAGAAGAGGAGGAGAGAAGAGGAGAGAAGAGGAGGAAGGAGAGAAGAGAAGGGGGAAGAGGAGAACGGGGGAGAGGGAGAAGCGGAGAAAGGCGAAAAAAAAAGGGGCAAGAGGACGAGGAGAAGCTGAGGGTCTGAGGGTCTAAGGGTTTGAGGGTCTGAGGGTTTTCTGAGGGTCTGAGGGGAGAAGAGAAGATCGAGAGAAAGGAGGAGGGTAGAAGCCAGGGTGAGAATCAAACGAGAGGCTTGCCTGATCGGAGATCCAATGGCCACGCGAGGTGTTTTGGTCAAGCTCGTCGAGAGGGACCTTCTTATTGCCTCCTACTACCTTGCGCCGTTTATTTTTGATTCTTCACCACGCCCTACTAGCTCCCACTTCCTTTCATTGCATCCAACTAGTTCTCATTACTTCCTATTGATGTTCTCATTACTAGTTATCATTACTTCTCATGCATGCATCTTAATGTCCAATATTCCTGGCCCCCAAATGACCGTGGGCAACTGTTCTCATTTAGCGGCAAATAGCGTCGTTTTAGTGGTTTCTCCTATGGTCATCCCATGTAAAGGACCTTGTGATCACCCCCCCATTTTTCCCCCACTGTTTCTTGCACGCCGTTTTCCCCCTGTACCTCACTCTTGGATCCTCCTCAAGCTCGCACGTCGCCACCACTCATTACTTCATATTGCGTGCTCAATTGTTTCTTGTTGCGAGCTGCTTCCTGCAACTCGCTCTGGCACATACTTTGCTACGGACGCCTGCTGCTTCACGCTGCTTCCTGCTATCTCCCACTAGCCTGTGCTACTTCCTACAATCTAATCTTGACTTTCCGTCTTTCTTACTACCTCTTGCTACTTCCAACTAAAGTCGTGTCACGTCCGGTTATTTCCTGGTTCCTCGTGCAACTCCTTACTCCCAATTACCACCAACTTGTTGGGGTGTTTCAGCAAGTTCACGGCAGAAGTTTCACGGAGTGGACATTGAATTCAAACATAAATTGTCACGGCAGGAGTCGAGGCAGTAAGTAGCGGGAAATGGTCAAATGAGATGCAAGGACAGGAAGCAATGGGAAATGAGTAGAAGGTATTGGGAGCTACAGGAAGCAGAAAGGAAGTAGTGGAAGGTAGTCGTGGGAAGTGGTAGAAGGAGAAGGAGGCAATAGGATCGAGTAGGAGGAAGGTACCCAGAGGAAAGAAAGAGTAAGTGGGAAAGAGGTGATAGGAGCGGAGCAGGTAGTGAGATTATAAGCACAAACCGAAAATGGAGTGGGGGTAGGAGTAAAAGTAGTTGTTATTGTAGAGCCAGTAGCGATGCCACAAACCAATCCGACCCCCTTCACAACCCGACCCCCTTCACAAACTCAACTGATCCGAACGCCCCACAAACCCACCCTACAAACCAACCCGACAGCTCTCACGAACTGTATGGACGAAAAACTTGTCTTCAACACTTGTAAGCCAAGATTCCGCAAAGAAACACGCAAAACTCAAAACCAGACGTGTCAATTGCATAGGCCCAAAGCCTTTTTCATCGCGGAAAAACACTGGGCTGCCTCCTGCCCTTCTCTGGGCCCCAACCCGAAGAAAGTTCAGAATCTTTTTGCTTCGGCCACCAGCATTGAGATCTGTTTGACCAGGAAACCGACCTCAGATCTCTGAGCCGTGCCGAGGCGCCCATGTGGAGAGCCGCCTCTCCCGCCTCCAAGCCCGCCTTGTGGCAGTCTTTCAGTGCCTGCTGCGACAAAGGCGGCGCCCCGCTCACCGGCACAGCCAGGGGCGGCACGCCACGCGGTGGCGGCTCCATGGAAATGTGCACGTCCGGGAACCTGGGAGAGCAAAAGTGGAAACCTGGCCATAACTCTGTACAAAAGCCCTGAAAGGAGAAATGCTGCCGGGTGCCCATCCACAAAGCTTCAGGACTCCCTAATTACGTGGGAATCCCCTTCCGGGTTCGGGTTGCTTGCCAAGGTATGCAAGGGGGAAACCCAGTTGTCAGCCAGAAATGTCGAACCGTGCGCAACCTGCCACATATCATGCCCTGTCAATGTGTTGATGTTTAGCCGCTTGTCATGTCATGCTTAGTCAAGTCGTGAAATATGTTCCGCCTTGCTGCCCAAACCAAACAAGCGCGATCACTACACTTTCATCAGCCATGGCACGGGGACGCATGCGGTCCCTGGTGTGGGGCAATGCTGCTTGCGGTGGGTGCAGCGGGTGGCATCATGGAAGGCATGTGGCCGACGGCCATGGGCTCGGCCTCGCCCTGCATCTCAGGCATTGGATGCATTGGATGCATTGGATGCATTGGGTGCGCGGGCTCCGCGTTCATGGGGTGCGTTGGCACGAGGTGCTCGGGCTGCCCATGCATCGGAGGAGTAACATGTGGCTCACTCGCGTGCATAGGAGGACCCTTGGGCTTGGTCGTTGCCGGCGGTGAGGCTTTGGTGGTGGTGGGTGGCTTCGTTGTTGTGGCTGCCGCTTCAGTGGTGCTTGGTGCCGTTGTGGTTGAGGCCTTGCTGGTGGTGGCCTTGGTAGTCGACGTAGTTGTCGCCTCCGTGGTTGTGACGATTTCGGTGGTTGTGTTGCCTTCTGTGGTGGTAGCTCTTTTGCTTGTGGTTGGTGCCGTGGTGGTTGACTTTGCCATGGTGCTATTTGTGGATGTCGCGGTCGTACTTGCGTCCAATTGATGGACCTGGCTTGACTGCCACGAGGGAAGCCCCAACCATCACACATGCCTAAACATGGCACCCGGGGTGAAAAACAAGCCACAAACACCGCCCAACCTTCTCCCGAATCTACGGTCCAAAATGTTTGAATGGTTGAAAGTTTCTCTTTAGAACTTTAGCCTATTACGTCCCTGCACCGAACCGGAACTGAGTGTGGGGAGCGTTGCCCCAATGTGTCCCTTTTGAGGCGGGTTCAACGGGAAACCAAAAAGAAACCACCGATTGAGTTTGTCCTCCATACGGAGGCAAGTCCACACACATGCCCGCTCAATACTGAGAACGGCTTTTACACCCTGCGTGCAAGTGCAGGACCTCATCTTCTAAACTTTGCAGTCCTAGACACGAGTCACAAGCCCAATGAATGTGAGGCAAGGGCTTGCGGAGCGTCAGAATTGAACACGCAGTTTGGACCGAAGGTATCCCACCTAAGCACCCAATTACAATCACAACGAAAGACCTCAAAAAGTCAAGAAGCAAGCGTCAAACGTAACATAGCGGACGGCAAAACCTGCCCTCTGTTTTCCTGCCCCTGCTTAGCCTACGTTAAAGTAGCGGGACGCCGAAGACAGGGAGCCCCGCCCCCAAACCGGTTCGTGTCAGATCTAGCCACCATTTGTCAGCCTATCAAGTCACCCGGTATTTGCTTTAAGCATTTCAGCCCGATTGCACCAAGCCAGAGCCTCCGAACCACAAGCCCCATTTTCGACAACCGCCGACTTCGCTGGCCTCCTGCTGCTGTAGCCTGGCAAGGATTTCCCCTGACTTTCACATGGAACCAAGAAAGTCCCCCAAAAGGAAACTCCTCTAAAACCGGATCCTCAGTATGTTCACATTGCTGACTTTGGCTGTACACACAACTGGTCTGTTTGTGTAACTATGATCAAAATCACCCGCTAAGTGGTGGGTCAACCGGACACCTGAGCCTGATGCGATTAGATCACGAAAGTGAAGCTACCGAGAGGCAAGTATAGTATAAGACTTAGTACTAGTCAATACTTGAGGCCCCCCTAAGATGTTTGTTGTTTTTGGAGTTGTTGAGCTTAGAGCACGTGTTTGAGGGCATGTCGCGTCTCGCGGCGCGAGGGCGCTGTTTTAGCCAACAGTGAGATGTCGGAGTTCGACTACTTTGTGTTGTTTATGGGGCTTTGAGGTTTGCAGAAAAGGCACTCAGTTGCACTTGAAATCAATAGTTCGCAGCTCGATTCCACGTGTGTTTGGGCTGCCCTGGTGTCCGGCTTGAGGGCAATCATCGCCAGCATGTTCTTCTAGCTGCGCAAGACAGCCCTGTTTTGGAACAACTTCGGATCCCCACCCCTCTAGCCGCCGAGGATTGCTTGCGGTAGCATTAAAAATGACGTTTAAAACAGACCCTTTTGGGTTAAGCCACTCGCTGAGAATTCTGGAGCCCTTCGGGACACCCCCAAGTACACAGCTGGGAAAGTGTGAAGCAAACCAGTCGATGTCTCTACCATCCCAATGCTTCACAGTTTTGACCTGGCTCCAAACCGCAAGCCTTTCAGAAAATCTGACCCAGTCCCAATCCTACAAGAGCGATGATCGCTGTGGTGGCGAACATCTCGCGTACAAAAGCTCGGAAAATGACCCTTGGACCAACAGGACCGTCACGATGCTTATTTTTGCATCATTTTTGGGAGGGCGGCAGAAAGGTGAAATGACTTCGAATTATTGCGGCCTCACGTAAGCGCCGAAGCAGAGTCAGCCCGATCCTGGCCTGTCGCCCTCGCGCGCTATCCTCAGAATGTCCATCAACGCCTGAGTGGGCGCAAGCAAGCAGCGCATCCGATTAAAACCGCGGGCATCGTCTAATTGCATTCGCCGTTCCCCCCTTATAGCTGTGCCCTCCTGACAGAAGGGGCTGAAGGGGCGGGCAGCCCCCAATTTTCGCGGGGCATGATCCAATTCACCAGCAAGGATGCCTACGCGTCGCAGTCCTATCACCATTCGGAGGCCTAGCCGAGGGTATCAGAATGCGGGTGTCTACTTAACATGATGGTTGTCAATTGGAGTAACTTTAAAATCCACAAATAAAGTAGCCGCGGAAAGCACACTGATGTAGTCACAAGAACGGTCTGTTCAAAAAGCGTGAAGTTTGGAAAGCAAAGGAGCAAACCGAAGGTTCCTTTGGATCCAAAATGGTGAACCATTCGCTGGAGGCGTTCTTCAATCTTCAGCCACCCATTTGAAGTCAATAGGCATGGTTCAACCAAGCTTTTTGGACTTGCCACGTCTCAAGAAAAAGTGACCCTTCGACAAACTGACTAAAAGCCCATCGCTCCGCCTCCGCGGCATCGCGGTTCTCAGTCCGCGCCCTGCGAAAATCGCAAAGATGTGGGGCACCCCTATTAAAAGGTAAGGGGAACCAAAAAGAGACAACACATCTTTCGGGGTCCCCTATCTTGAGAAACACCCATGTAGCACCCCCCCCTTTGCACCCTCTGGAATTGCCACAAGCAAGTGAACAAGCGAGCTTCGTCACGAGGATTCTGCTGGCGTTCGGACCTTGTCTGCGGAATGCAATGGGAACAAAGCCCCTCAAATACAACCAAATCACTTCAGAAGCCGGAATGGCCACCCCCCTTTCATTGGTCCCACTCGAAGCTCGCCACCCTGGCCCCAAAGCATGAAGCTGCTGGCTCGTTCACCCAACCCCACATAGCATATGCGTGAGTGTGCGTGTGTGAGTGTGTGTGTGTGTGTGCGTGTGTGTGTGTCCAAATGGGGACCAAACAAATCTGGGTGGTTGTGCCGCTAGGCCCCCCCCACAAAATAAATGTAAGGTTTTTGGAAAACGGCCTACCATATAAACATATGGTACGCCCCCCGCCTTTGGAGTACTCAGGTTTTCGTTCAAATATTGACATGTTTGCTGTAAAAGAAACGCATGCCAAATGCACTTTTCAGCTTCCACAAATGATGCTCAAAAACGCACTCCATTTTCCATCTAAATTATAGCATCAGGACATCCAGGATGTGCTAGCACGTGCTAGCATATCCTGGGTTGAAGATTGAAGGTTGAAGATTGTCTGACAACTTTTGCTGAGATTCTTCAATCTATACTTGGGGGAGTCCAGGATGTGCTAGCATGTGCTAGCGCATATCAATTTGACCTTGGTATGGATTTGAAGATTTCCAGAAAAGTGACCTGAGAATCGTCAATCTCATATGCGAAGAACCTTCAATCCTCAAGCGTAAATACAGGATGTGAAAGCAGATCCTGGATTGCCCAAGTATGGAATCTGAAACGGTGGACTAGCAGAGCATGTTCCAAGAGTCAAATTGTGGATGTGCGCCTCCTGCATTTTGCCAATAAGGGAAACATGTATTTTGAAAACCTTACGGCTTTTGTGGGACTTGAGGGGCCAGGATGGACGATTCTCAAAAAACCAAATCTGGAGAGCTTCAATCTTCAAAACAGGCGGGGAAGCTTTAAAGAGTTTAGAAAAACTGTCAAGTTTTGGGGGCCAGGATTGAGGATGTTCTGAATAGAAGGCCTTCGATCCAGGGCAACATGATCTGAGTGAATGCTGAAAACACTGCGTTTTACAACATTTTATGCCACTAATAAGACCTACGCTTGAAAACACTTCTCTGTTACTGGTTTGGCTCAGCTCTTGTTTGGCTAAAAACCACATGGAGTTAGATAAGGACAAGAACCCTTATGAAATTTCTCTTGAATCCAGTTTTAACTGGCTATGACAATAGCTGTGTTCTCCATTGGACGTTTGAAACGCACAAGAAACTGCAACCGTTCAAAGTTGAAATTGGATTGAACTCGACAGCTTTAACTTTCATATTTTCCCTATACTTGAAATTCAATAGTTGTTCTTGAGAGTGGTTGAATCGTATTAGGCAAGTAACGTACAACTGAGATAGCTGCTTTGCAAATTCGGCTTCAACACACTTAGTTAGAATGTATATGGAGGTAGGTACAAAAAACAACTAACATGTAAACGCAACTGCGCAAGGACGTGAAGCACTTTTAGGTTTGATCTGGATGTCGGTTTCAAGTAGGACTGAGTTCCTTCCCCCCAAGTGGATGATTTGCCGAGTTTCCTTGTAAAACAAGGATGGTCAAACCAAACAGCTGTTACAGGCACGATGGAGCTGCCAAAGCAATGCTTCGCGCACTACTCTTGTGCTGAAAGTTGTGCTCTTTGAGCTGGAGCTGCCAAAGTGCACTTCACAGACTCCAACGTGACTTCAAGTGCACTTCGCGTTGAAGCTGTTTAACTAGGAGCTCCTTTTGAACGTTGCGCTTAACTTCTGCTTGGTTTGACTTTGCATGGAGTTGCATCCTGGCTAAAAACTTGAATTCTGGACAAAAGCCTGTATGTGTATATGTATATATAAATATATATATATATATATCTAAATATGTACACATTCATATTCGCTGGGACCGTCCAGCCCAAACCAGCCTGCTGAGTGCTCGCTGGAGCTGGTCCGAGCGGTCTGCCGGCCTCGAGCAGCATCGAGCACTGCGACGAAGGCATTTGGGGGGGGGGGGGGGGCGATTTGTGAGGGTACCATGTTTGGCTGTTTAGGTGGTAACCAAAAAGAAACCAATTGTTTGGAGGGTTCCCCTATGTTGAGACGAAGGAACACATTTCAAGTGGAAGACTTCGGAAGACGGGAAAGAGAACTCAAGTGTTAGCCACCAGGCTCGTTCTATAATGAAAAGCAACCGTCCCGTAGTGGGCCATCACCTAATTCAAGCTTGGTCAGTCAGTTACCAGGCGATGATGTGATTGTCACCTCGGGCCCTCAAGGACAGGTTCAGCAGCCACAACAACCGTGCTCCGTTTGCGCGTTGAGTTGATTCCCTATTAACCCCAACCCCCAGTGCCAATCCGACAACAAGGCACTCTTGTTTTTGTGGTTGATATTGTTGATTTAAAAGAAAACCGGCATATTACCATAGATGAGCCTTGGCTCCTGTCGGCCGACCCAAACCCAACGCGGAGCGCCACGCCTGTTGGCGCGGTCTTGCTTCGCCTGGCGGGAAACGCACCCGACAAAAAGCGCAAGGCCTGAAGTTGGGGCCCGAAGTCGCTGTTCCGGACTTGTTTTAGCCGCTCCTGCGGTCCTCTGAGCTTTTGGCGGCCACAAGAAGCCAGCGGACTAGGTGGCTTCGGCTCCTTTTGTCTCCAGCTTCAAGGTTCAACACTTTGCCAAAAACGGCATCACTTTTGTCTCCTGGAGCTGTTGTGCATGGTCAATCTGGTCCGCGCCCACCGCTGCCTCAACTAGGGAAATTAAGGACAATGGCCTCCTCGCTGGCTTTGTGCTGCGTGTCCCTTGGGGCCAAACGCAGCTGAGACCCAGGGGCGCAAAAGGTTTAAGACCTGTATAAAAAGTGAATTAGCTCACTTTTCGTGAGGAAAAAGGCAAAAATAACGGCACTTTTGGAGCAATGCATTACAACCCTGGCGTTGCCCAAATGCCTCCTGCCCCGACTCCCTGCCCTTCTATCAAGCCACTCGCGCAAGGCACCCTCGCTCGCTCGGCCTCTCTTCGCATCACCGAGGGCTGGCCAAAGGCGGACACAGAGACGCTGGCCTTGCCCTGGCCGCAAGAAAATACGGGCTCTCAGGATGTGAAAAGGGTCGAGCCAGGGACAGCCCACTTCTGGTGGCAGACTTCCCCTCAGCTCTCCCTAGCTGGCAGTATCATACCTTATGTACTTGGGGGAGGTCAAGGATCCTGTAATGGCTTCTCATAGGTTTGAAGGCCACAAGCCCACACATCAGCATGACATTCACACTCGAAACCCCAGAAGCGGGCACATGCATGCAGTGTCCCGTCCCCATTCACCCAGCCCAATCTCACATGCCAGCTGAATGCGCCTCGCTAAGGGGCGCGTCAGGGTCGGAAATGTGGTGCTGCTCGCCCTCCGCGCTATGCAAATCCTGGGCTCTCAGTGCTGCGATCTCAGGTCAGTGACTTACCAAACTGCGAGGCGGATCAGCCTCCGAGCATCGGGACTGAATTCGGCCAAGATGCGCTGTTTCCAAGGCAGGTGTGCAGGAATAACAAGCACACCTCAGCCAATGCCCCTGACAACTTTCCTGGAAAACTCCAAGTATCTCCCCAGAAAAGAAACCCCCACCATCAAGTAACAGTATAAGGATCTAACACGACACGGGTTTTTTCCGAACCCCACATATGGCAAGCTAGGCCGCACTTTCGTGGCCAGAAGTCCAACCCAAAGATGACGAGGGCACTCCCACAGTCTGGCTGGTCGCATCTTTCGAACCAACGGCCGCTGTCTTTGTGCTGGCCCAGTGGTTGATGCCATGTCATTCATTAACCTGCAAGGGCATTTCAAAGGGAATGCCCTAGCGTTATGATTTGTTTAGCCAGCCAGAGACTGGAAATCTTGAAATATTTACTTTTTCAAAAAATCATCGATTTGGTTATCCTCAAACCTATCCAAAAATCATCCTACAATCATCCTCTGCAAAAAACATCATTGAAAAATCATCCTCTCCCTCCTCCTTCATCCCTCCTCCACATCGCTTCTATTCTCTGCGTTTCCATTTTCCTTTCCTTCCCGTTCCTTCCCGTTCCTTCCCGTTCCTTACCCTTTTCCATTTCCCTCTTCTTGTTTCCATGTTCCATCTCCTTTCTTTTTTTTTCTTCCTTGTCCTCTCCAATTCTCTTTGCCCTGCCCTGTTCCTTCTTTCCCTTTTCACTCTTCCTCTTCCTGAGACTGACAGGAAAAGCAAAAAGTTGCAAAACCCTCCTGTTTTTTTTCAAAAAATCATCGAACAATCATCGAACAATCTTCGAAAAATCATCCCCAACCCACATTTTCTGGACCAAACCCCCTTCACAGTGGTCAGGAAAGCAAAAAGTTGCAAAACCCTCCTGATTTTTTCAATAAATCATCGAAAAATATTCGAAAAATCATCGAACAAATCATCCCCAACCCACATTTTCTGGACCAACCCCCCTTCACAGTGGTCAGGAAAGCAAAAAGTTGCAAAACCCTCCTGTTTTTTTCAAAAAAATCATCGAAAAATCTTCGAAAAATCATCGAAAAATCATCCCCAACCCACATTTTCTGGACCAACCCCCCTTCACAGTGGTCAGGAAAGCAAAAAGTTGCAAAACCCTCCTGTTTTTCTCAAAAAATCATCGACTTCGAAAAATCATCGAAAAATCATCCCCAACCCACATTTTCTGGACCAACCCCCCTTCACAGTGGTCAGGAAAGCAAAAAGTTGCAAAACCCTCCTGTTTTTTTTCCAAAAATCATCGAAAAATCATCGAACAATCTTCGAAAAATCATCGAAAAATCTTCGAAAAATCTTCGAAAAATCATCCTGACCGGAATCCATCTTCAAAAAATCATCCAACAAATTACCCTGCCTGACATCAACCTTCCAAAAATCATCCTCCCTATTTTCCCCCCCTGTTCTCCAGCCTGGAACACGATTTGAAACGAGCTTCAACACAGCCACCGTCAGACATTTCTTGCGCAAAATGGCTCCAACTAAATTGTTTCATGGCTGAAGCTGAAGGAAACCCACCAAAGCAAGCCAAGCAAAGCCAAGCCCAGCAAATCAAAGCAAAGCAAAGCAAGCGAGCGAAGCAAAGCAAAGCAAAGCAAAGCAAAACAAAACAAGTGAGCGAGCGAGCAGGCAGGCAGGCAGGCTTGAGGATAATGAAAAACGATGAGGATAAAAAAATGATAATCTGGAGGATAATGACAAACGATGAGGATAAAAAAAGGATAGTGTTGAGGATCATGAAATTGATGATTTTTTGAAAAAATAAATATTTCAAGACACCTCAGTGTGTGGCTGCAAAAATGTCATAACCCTAGCGGTCCCAGCGTGAGCCTCCTGCCATCTCCAACTTTGAGTTGGGAGGCTCAGGAGTGATACCCAAGGCACCTTCGAACTCCCTTCAAGCTCGTAAACGTAATAAGGCTCAAGTGAGCAATTGAAGCGTCTCACCTTCTGAAAATCACAGCAAAACAGATTCGCCCAAAGGGGAAGCACAAGGAACGCCCCAATCTTCTTGACACCTGGGCAAATTCTGCGGAAGCTTTTCTGAACTGAGGAGAAAAAGTGCCCAACCAACCCTGTCTAAGAAACCTTCTGAGAAGGTTCTAAGAGCTTTTCCCGAGTCCCGTGTAAATAAACAAATCCATAGCCCTGCGAAAACTAAAACCAACTGGGAGTGTCTCAAAATTTCAAAATAGTGGTCCCCCTAAACTTGCCCCTTTGTAGAAAACAAACACATCCGCGGGCCCTGTGTCAAAACAAAGTCAACCCTTGAAATTGTGGTCTAAACAGTGGGCTGTCCTCGGATCCCCGCTAAAAGTGGCTCACTTGTTAGTGTGTTGAATATGGAAATCCCAACAAAGATCTAAAACCTACGGAACTGGATGGCTGGGAACCATCGACCCTTTGCAAACACCAAGGGTTCAAATCTAACCCCAATCCAAAATTCCTGTTGCACAGCCCGGCGGCCAGCTGCATGAGCCGGTGCATCCTCGGACGCAAGCGGTCCGCGCCACAAGGAAAACCCGGCCGTTTTTGGGAGCCCCCTGATTTTGACACATATCCCTAGCGCACCGGAAGCTAATTTGCAGAGCTTCCTAGGTCAAACCTGGAAGGGTCTAATGGAGTGCCGGCTGGATCCTCACTTTGCGGAATGGCCAATCTCAGCGGGTCACCTTGCACATGACACTTCCTGGAGCTGACCCAAAGGGTGTAGAAATTCGACGCCAGTATCACCAACACTGGTTCAAGCAGCCTGAAATCTGAAATGCACTGGCCTTCTTAAAGCAAAAAACACTGCACGCCTTTAATGCCGGATTCCCATCCGATTCACTGCAACTTGTGGACAAACCGACACTCGACTAAACACGCAACGTAGAGCCCCAAGCTTTCTGTGAAACGGTGGTACACAGGGTTCCATGTTTTGACTGCCCCAAAGTAGACTTAAACCCAGCACCCCAAGCTGGTTGATTTCCCCAAAAGGGAAACTCCTGGGCTTAAATCTAATTAGCTTGCGGTAGTCACAAGATGGAACCCTGGTGCTAGCGCTTGCGTTTCAACAAGGAACAATTCTCAAGGCCCGCCAATTGTTTCACGCCGAGCTTCGTGAACAGCGCTGGGCGCTGAGTTATGGATAGATTGCCTGACCACGATTTCTAGCCTGTTGCCAGACTGAGGGGCCTGGAAGCCGTAACGGCTTCGGCTGAGGCGAGGCCGTGAATACAACAGAAGCCCCCGAGGCCTGCGCCCCTCAATTGAAGTCAAGGGGGACCTGGG